AGAACAACTGCCTGGATGTTCTTGAGCCTGCTATTTATATGGCTGCTTGCCACAAAACATATAAATCAGACACAAAACATTGTTTAGAGCTATAATAGTTTATTAATTATTTAATTAAATACAAAGCTGACAGAAACAAAAACAACTGAATGGACCTTACATTAACCTTATGTAGTATTCAGTCATAAGTGGCCCTCAAACCAACAACAGTTGTGTGATAAACATATAAATATGAATGTGAACATATTCACTGACAGTCAAAAGATGATTTGAAATACCCGGATAAGCCTGTGCTATTAGTTGAAGCGGTTGTTATCTGGGAATAACATACCTTAGAATGTTGCGACTGACATTCAGAATCAAGTATTCCAGAGAGATTTGTTAATCTATGGCTGTTCATCATTTTAAGTGGGTTGATTCAATTTTCATTTGCAAGAGCTCAATTTTTATGGATTATCAATTATTTGAAAGTTTTTTTTTTTTAATATGATATTTTTATTTCTAAGAATTTACATGAACAATTGAATGACAGTAAATGGAGAATTGATGAAAATAATTAAAGAGGCATGGACCTGTACATTAAGCTTTTGTTATCATTATAAATCTTTCTTTATTTCAGCTAACATGGCTACATTAAAACAGAACATGCCTATCTACATTTTAAATAAATTCTCATGGTTTCCGCTACATTCATTCTTCCTTGGCGGGGCGCCACATCAAAATTCATGGCTACATTACAGCTTCTCATTCAACACCTTCAGTTGTTGCTGCTTTTTCAAAGCGGGTTACAATCGAACCAAAACATTAAAATGTAAGTGAATTATAACGGAGCGAGCTTATCTGTAATCATAGTAGTGCTGTGCGTTATTAGTTTAACCCTATAAGGTTACATGCTGACTGACTAACCGGGCTGTGTGATTTCTGAGGCTAGCAAACACGATGTAGCTTTCAGTTATGATGAACATCGTTTCCATATACTTTATTAATAGATGAAGGTCTATGGCTCTGCATACAATGACTTTTACTTGCTGGAGTTTATGGCAGTTTCACTTTACTTCAGGAGGCATCAATGCCGTTCTGTAGGTCTATTGGACACATTCATATATATTCTTAGCCGATCTAATAAATGTTGGGGACATACTTGTTGAATAAATGCTTTAAATTCCACTTCAGCAGCGTTTATTTGAGAGTGCACAAGAAAATCTGTGCTTGAGCAGCGTTTTGAGGGCATGCAAGAAGTTTGGTGCATGAACAGAGGAAATCAGCGCGCAAGCGAAGAGATTTGCATGCTCGTATTACATGAATGCGATCTCGAGTTGTAATATTGTGCTCACGCCATTTTCATTGAAATAACACCATAGGCAGGGATGGGCAGTATTTATGATACAATTATTTCAAATATGTATTTCAAACACAAAATAGTATTTTGTCATTTGTATTTTTGAGGTTTATAAAAACAGGTTAGTATTTTGTGTCAGAATACTTTAGTGTGTTGTATTTGTGTATTTTTTTAAATTACTGTAAAACACAATGTAAGAAAAATGCGACCTCTAATTGATTGGCTTTGTCCCCATTTGCTAGGCTTGAGATCAGAATAGAAAATTGATTAATATTGAAGAAGGGTGTCAATGCCTTGATTTATGAATGGAAATTATGCAACAACAAAAACACCTAAAGATGGTGTACTGGTGTTCGCTTAGGGGGTGGAAACGCAAAAAAGAGAGATAGTACTATGTGCCAACTCATTATATGCTTTACATGTTTTTTCAATCATTAAAGAGATCATCTTCAAGACAGGACTCTCTGTATGAAATTTGTACAAAATTTATTGTAAAAATATGCCCACCGACCTAGTCTGTACACAAACCAGTGACCTTCTTGCTCAAAGAGAAACAAAGGTTTATGAATACCAACTCAGGTGTTTTGTTTCATAAGAGTAGAGGTTTACGATGTGCGCACAAGCTGACTTTAATTTGCTCAGAGAAACATTGCTGCTGTCAAACATTGTTTACTTAAGTCAGTTTAATGGTGAAGAGATTGATCGAACATGCCTATTGATGGAAGGTTTGCGAATAAATTTCATGCTCCCTTGTAAAAATATTTTGTAGTATTTTAAAATACAGTATTTTATTTTGATGCTTGTTGTGGCTGCTGTATTTTGTTGTTTATTTTTATACATGCAAAATGGAGATATTTGGTATTTTATTTTAAAATGCATTTCAATGTATTTTTGCCCATCCCGGGCCATAGGTAGAAAAAATCCTAGATTAAACGCTGTCTCATCTTTTGAGAACTGATTTGAATTGATAATTATTATAGGTGGGCATAGATTAATTATTTTATTCTAGATTTATCTAGATTAATCTCAGAATTAATATAGATTAATCTAGATTAAAATGGCTCATTTGAATTCTGCCGAAGGCATTCAGAATCTGTGTGCTACCCAAATAATAAGTCTTTAAGAATAGGTTTCTCAAGCCAGGTGGCGCATTAGACCAGGGGCTCATCTCCTGTTCCCAAAATGCATCACAAACTGCTTGAGAATCTGTTCTACTATAATAATTGGTGATGAAAATAAATGATGTTCAATAAGATGTACTTGTGTTTACCAACTGTTATTCAGTTAAACATGAATTTTGAAACTGTAGGCCTACATGAGCTCAAAACACTGTGAATTATATATTTATTTAGTTTTTGATGACCTTAATCTGACTAAAGTCATAACTGGACTAAACAGAAATGGAATTAAGACATGTGGAGTATGCTTATATTAGTGGCATTATATAAGTAAACACCGTCATGTAGGACTTTTCGCCATATTTTCCGACAAGATCCACACATACGGCTGTCAGTAAAGGACCACATACACACACACACACACACACACACACTGTGAAAAACATTTTTTTTCTATTTGCTGTGCGTTATTAAATTCCAAAACACCTCTCACCAGTCCTTACTCCTTTTTTGCGTCTAATACCCCAGTTTGTCATTGGGCATGAATGAAATGTTCATGAGTCGAAGTAAAACTGCCGAACTGCTGCTTAAGTCAGGCATCCTGCTGATTGAATCAGAAGAGCACTTTTTTTGTCAGACGGCTCACCGGTCAGGTATACATCCACGCTAAAATAGTCATCATAGCTTGCGTAGAATATACCAATCTCCAACCCAACTTTGAGAATAGATTAACGGCTATATATATATATATTTTTATCGCCGCATTAACGCCGATAACAGCCCACCACTAATACTTATACTGAGATTACATTAATTTAAGATTACGTTAGGGTTTTAAATAACCCTATTTATTAATGCAATTTTTATTTTATTACATTTTTTCATTTATGTTAAAAACTTGGCTATTGCATAATTACAGTGCTCAGCATAAATAAGTACAACCTCACAAACCTATCTTTTAAATTAATAATTAATAGGAAGCTATACAATATAATATTTGTGCATATATATTAGTCAGTACTGAAGGCAAATATGGAGCTTATCTAACAAAATAACTTATGATAAATTTCCAAAAAACTAGTACACTCTTATTTATATGTTCTAGAATAATATTAAATACAAAAAAAGAGGAGAAATCATTATTTAGTTAAAATTTTGTATGTTGTAATTATTTTTTTAAATATTTAGCTTAAATTTATATGTATTGTCTTTCAATTTCTAAATATGTTTGATTACTAAAATATTATTTTAATATATTTGTTTAATAAATCTGTTTCGTTTAAATGCACCAAAATACATTGCCTATATTCACTGAGAATTTGATAAAAAAAATATTCATTTTCAAAATGGAGTGTACTTAATTATACTGAGCACTGTATTTTGGGCAACGTTGGCAAGGAAAATACCAACCTGCCCTTCTGACCCCTCTGGACCAGCAGACAAATCCCTTATTGTTGAGCTCTTGTCAGAGTTTACCTAACATGAGTGAGCAAAAAAAAAAAGTCGTTTTTTTTTGTTTTGTTTTTATGTGCTACTGCTATAGGAAACATTTCTGAATGTAAAGCCATTGATGAAATGTCAGTTTTGCCATCTGAATTGTGGTGTAGATATGAAAGCAGCACAATGCGAGTCGCGAAGATCCACCAAAAGCTCTTTGAGGATTACTGGCCGTGGTTTGCTAATGTTTAGATGTCAGACGTTGCTAAGAGGGGCTGGAAACTGATTGGCCATTCGGAAGAGCAGCAGTATCATGGATGCTCATGCTTGAGTGGCAGAAGGCCTGGATTATTTTAGGGTCTGACCTTTCAGATTGGCACCAGGATTATGACGGTTTAGTCAGTGAGACACTATTGAGATTACAGCACGTGTTAGCGGTCAGCCTGCTATACTCTCTGGGTCTTGGCTTCAGGAGCTGTGATTATATTTTCACTCCTCACATCAAACCATCTCGCAACTAAGAGCTTAATCCCCTCGGACCAAATCCGCAGGCAATCTGCCGGATGAATAAAGACACTTGGATGTTGTCTGTCTAGTATCTGTTGCGCTTGTCTGGGTATGTGGTCATGTGAGCTGTGCTTGGCTGGATAAATTGATATATTCATATGAATCTGTGGTTCAGAATTAAATTATATTTTGTTTCTAGAAAGAGTTTGTTTGTTTTGTGAATGTAATAGCCAGGCTTATCAGCCTGTGTCACATTAATGGCCTGAGCTTCAAATCTCTGCTTGATGTGTGAGTCTGAAAGCAGTGACTCATTTCCTCCCTCGATATAGAGGCTGCACACACATTTATGAGCGGCCTGTAATTAAAGTGGCAGTCGGGTTATCACAGTTTTGATAAAACACACACACACACGCTTTTATAACTTAGTATTTTTCTAATTAAATTAGTAGTATAGTAGTATACTTTTCTATTTTAATTAAGCTTTTACTCGGTATGTAGTAAAAATAAAGGATTTTTAAAATAATTACATTCCTGTGTGAACAATATAATGTGAATGTTGTTGCGTAGTATTAATAATAAACTCTGTTTTTCACCTACAGGGGATCATTGTGCGAATGAGTGAGTGATGCAGGTTTCGTTTCTCCAGGTGAGTCTCCTTTTCCTCTTTCATCAAAGCTATGTGTACTTGGCTATAACAACAACCCAAATATGAAAGCTCAATAGCTAGTGAATGTTCAGTCAATAGTAGAACTGTGCCATTAATTTAAATCATATCAAAATGTCGATTTGGACATGCTTGATTTTTATATCGCTTAAAGCACAGTTTTCTCACAGTATGGTATATGAACCAATCATAACGCTGCGTGCCTAAACAGAGCGCTAGAACAGGAGACTGAATAGTGTGCGTATACAGGAATGATGAGTTCAGCTCAGGAGGGAAAGAGTCAACATCTGTAATGTTAGTTTATGTTACTTTGGGTACAGGAAGGCTGATGTATGGCAGAACCAGGTAACTTGTAAGTCAGTCATATTGCGTCTAAAAGCATGTGGAAAACATGAGTATGTCGCTTCCTTCAGCATTTTCAACGAGCTTTGTGGTCGCTCTTTTGTCGTTGTTCGGTGACCAACAATCGTTTTCTCAGAGGATGACAACCCAACAAAACATTAGCCGCGTTTCCACTGTCGCGCCAAAAGTGAGCGAGCCAGGGCAAGTCGCGTTTCCATAGTCGCTTCCGGGACCTGACCGGGCCAAATCTGAGTTTTCTCGGGATCAGAGGGCGATCTTTTTTTGTCCCGCTGATTATCTTGGGCCAAAGTGAGCCAGCTGGGACTTCGGGGTGGAGTGAAAGCAGAGGCGGAGTTTGCAGGATGGTGTGCCACTGTCATTACACTAGTTTTACCATGACACACAAGTTCATGTGCCAAAATTAAACAAATAAGGGAGAAAAAAAAAACATAGCTACCGGTCAGTTTAAGATTCCATAAAACACCTTATAGACTAGGGGTCTTTTGCTTGAGATTTGAATTTAAGGCTGTTGCATGAAATAATAATTAAAGTAGTTTTTTATTCAATAAGTGATATTTCTTTGCTGTGTCCTTCTTGATGTTTTAATAACACATAATAATCTTTACAACATATTAAAGACACAACCGCCAGTAACTGTCAGTTGTCGATAGTTTTTGTCAAGTTTAAAAGGTGTGTTTGTGCATGCAACATGCGCTTTTAGATGCATGTATTTGTGTGCGAGAGTCACAGCGCTGTCGTTGTCGTGACCGGCTTTTTTTCTTCTTTATTTTTTTTAGAGATGATACAAAATATGAATTCAACAGAAAGACTTTTGTAGTGTCATAGATCTGGATAAAATAAGCTATAGGCTACTGAAATCATTTCAAGAATTAAATAAAGGATATAATAAAAACTATTTAATTAAATGAACCAATATAAAACAAACAAAGCTATAAGAATTTTGGTCTATACAATATAAATAAACCGTTTTAAGCCATAATAAACTTTCATATACAAATCTGAAAAAAAAAGATTTTAGATATTTTCTAAAAACAACAGAGGAGTTTTGAAATATTATTTGTAAAGTGTTTGGATTCGATGATATTAAATCATGCAAACAGAGCATTTTTGAGTGAGCAAAACTATCAGAAACTACCTTTCAATTTCTTTCTGTCATCCAGTCCTGCATAGCTTTATAACGTAAAAAAGTAAAAACTGATGCGGATTTTGGAAAGCTGCTATACTCGAGCGCAGTGGTATAGGCTAAGCCTATATTTTATTACTTGCTCTAATGTACTGAAACACTTACGGTTTCCTTTACTTCAGATTACCATATAATGTGCAACATCCTTAAATTATTCTCTTAAAAAAACGGGGAAATACCCATTAAGTGTATTATAGCCTAAGGAAATAATAATATGTTTTAGGTCTCTCCGGAGCATTTAGGCTGAATCTTTAAATCAAGGGCTGGACTTGAATTTGTCTATTCGTTATTGTTTAAACCACTGGATTGTTGTCTTTTTTTATTTTATTTTTTTTTTTTTTTGCATTGCTACATGCCATAAAAAAATGTCAGAAATGTGGTTAAAAAGGGTGGTAACATTACTTTGATTGAAGATTACACGTTACAAATATATATAAACCGTGTATAATTCATAGTACAGCAATATTCAATTTTAACAATACAGGTAAAATATTCATTGTCTAATTTGATGACTTTTAAGCACTGCTTTTAAATGGTGCTTATTTGTAAGACTGAAGTCATAGTTTGCTGCTGGTTTGTATGTTTTTCAGGGCAGTATGGGTGTGTGTCCCCTGCTCCTGCATGTGGCCTTTGTGGCCCTCAGCACGGCCCAGACTCTCCCTCACCTTTCAGGTAAGACACTTTTGCTTTGGTTTAGGCCCTTCCTCATTGCAAAAGCAAACTCACTGCCCTTAGGGTGTGTTCACACATGTAGTTTGTTTTTTTTGTTCGTTGCAGAAAAGAACATGATAGGATTTTGGATTCACGCTCGTTTTTGTTAGACTTATTGAATGGTCATACATTTAGCATTTTTACAGGTGGTTTTAAAATGTGTAAATTAGTCAGAACTGTAGCAGGAAGTCAGTCTCACACATTTAAAGACCTTAGGTACTGAGCCTGGTGTGCTTAAGGATTTTATCCATTCTTGGTCACATCTTATGACATCCCATCCTGTTTTTGGTTTGTTTGGATGTCATTGGTCTGTGTTGTTTTGTTTTTTGTTTTTTTAGTCATACTACATCAGTGTCCTTGTGGAAATCTCATGAGATGCGTAATTTTAACAGTCTCAGTACATTTGTTTGGTACACGTGGCATCTTTCATGCTTATTCAAATGAACCTCATTAACAGAGCAATTGCACCCGAGTTTGTTTTTATCAAACAAAATCCATGTTGAAAGAAACGTTTGCAATCCATCAACTCCATCTAAAAATGTCAAATATTTTGAGGCCTAGGAAGTTAGTCAAGAATTGCCTGGAGGACACAACATTTCCTCACACATCTAATTTTGTTTTGTGAGATACCTAGTGTCCACCTTTATTTGCATTAAAAATTCTGTTAAACCTAAAGTACCATTTAAAAATGTGTAATGGATGAAGGACTGCTCATACCTTTCGATACCGAACACCTCATGACTTAAAGGGCGCCAATGTGATCGTGCACACCAAGTGTCATTAGGAGTGGAGAGTAGCAAATTGGATTTGAGGGTGAATTGGACCCTCTCCGCTGTCGCCACTGACACGCATGGTTCAGGATTGGTAGAGCTACACATCGATGAATTTGCTCTTCAGTGTTTGAACTCTCAGTAATGATTAAATCACACTGAACTGAACTGAACTGAACTTAAACACTAAAACCTGGACCACACTGTTCCAGTTACTATGACCATTTATGTGAAGCTGCTTTGACACAATCTACATTGTAAAAGCGCTATACAAATAAAGCTGAATTGAATTGAATTGAGTTTTATTTTACTTTCATTTCATGACTTACAAGTTTATTAAGTGTCGTATATCGCGATCTCGAATCGACCCCCTAGACCCCCTTAATCCAGCATTTCTATGATTCTGCCTATCATATTTTCAAGTTCCGGAGAGAAGAAAAGGTGGCCGCACGAGTCTTTTCATTGTTACACACACGTTGCTCAGTGACATTGACACCTCCAAATGATATTGAATGAATCAGATACTGTATTTATATGGTATAATTCATAGAGGTATTTATACCCCAGTGTCTAATGATATTTCAGAAATCATTCTAATGGCTCATTTCTTCTGAGTGCTATTCTGAGTGCGATTCGGTTCACCTTTATCGGGCTTGCGTTTCCACTGCCTAAAGGGTACAGTACCAATGGCGCTTTTAGAAGGCCTTATAAACAACAACGAGACACAGGGTAGATCCTGCTCTTTTTGGCTTAGTGGCTGTTCATCAAGACAACAACAAAGTTTGTTTAAACCCAGGTCGACCATGGCTCGTTATTATATGTATATATTATTATGGTGTAATGTCTTGGCTGTGTATTTAAAAATGGCACTTCCTTTGTTTTCATTCTCCTGGCTTGTACATGAGCTAGTGACGTACCTCTGTAAACCAATACTGATCTGCTGCGTGTCTTGCTACGCCTTTTGGTACCCTTTTGTTGTGCTAGTTACCCTTCAAAAGGGTACCAAAAAAGTGGTATGGTACGCTTTTTGGTACCTTTTGACAGTGGAAACGGCCATAAAAGCATACCGAATATGCTGATTTGGTCGTCAAGAAAACATAAAACTTTTCTATTAATTAAGCTACATTTATGTAGGATTCTAGGAATTTCAAATAACCAGCATTGCCATTTAAATCTGTTTGAATATTGTAAATACAGTTATTTTTAAAACATTTTAGTTTTAAATTTGTTGATGCTTTTTGTCTTGTGCGTTTTAGCGTTAGTTGTCTTAAGTTTTAAGCAAACAAGCAATTGATAGTAAAGAATAAACCATTCTTGATATTGCTATTTGTGAAAAAAAGGTTCAGATTCCCATTAATGAAGGCTGTTTACTTCATGAATTTATTGTATTAAATGTATATATTCTAAAGCTTAAAAATCTCAATCTTAGGTGCGGTCCAGACCACCAAACCTACACCCCATCCTCCCACGACACCCCTAATCATAGTCACCAATGGATCCCCAACAGCCGCTCCAACATCCACACCGTCCCCACAACTTATTGCAACAAAAGCCTTCAATGACTCTGAGGGTACTGCGGCCCCAGAGGCTACCACTGCTCCTCCAGTCGTCCCTCCTCCAGCTGTGCCCATCCCTACTGTGGTGCTACCTGTACCGCCAACCCCAACTGCCGCATCCCCGTCTCTCACCACCAACAAAACTGGAGATCACCAGACCACCGTTTTGGCTCCAGCAGGGACGCCAACGCCTGATCCCACATCCACCCAGTCCTCCTCAGAGCCCGAGACGGAGACCCCGTATACCCCAGCTGATGCCACCACTGCTGACGTCAACAAGCCAGAAGGTACCATTCATCTGTTCTTTTCTTTTTACCATTTAAATGATTGATCGTCATTTAAATAACAATCAATTAATCAGTTAAGCTTAATAATGTCTGTAATTCAGTGGCACATTGAAACTGTCACAAAGTGACACTCAAAACACAAGCATAATCACTCACAGGAAAATACTTTAGTGTAATTAAAAGGCTAGTAAAATTAAAAAGTGTAATTCAGTACAGTGTTTCTCAACCACGTTTCTAGAGGATCACCAGCACTACATGTTTTTCATGTCTACTTTGTCTGCTGATGATCTGAATCAGGTGTGTTTGGTTAAGAAGGCATGCAAAATGTGCAAAGCTGGCGGTCCTCCAAGAACATGGTTGAGAGAATTTTTAATGATTAAATTGAGGCTGCACTATATTAGAGAAAAAACTGACATTGCAATATTTGTTTTTTTCTGCGATTATATTTTGAGATATAAATATAATTTCACAAAATGACCCTATTTGAAAAGAATTTCTAATTTTATATTGATTGGAATGATTTGTACAGGAGTGCATCTACATTAAATATACACAATTATACTAAATAAAATAAATAAAAGCACAATTAAAAAAAACAGAAGGATAAAAATAAAGTAAACAAATTTTTTTGTGGGTTTTGATGGAGTCTAACTGTATTAGAAGTAATAAAATTCAGTAATTAAATGTAAAATAACATTGCATGGTCTTTATTATAATTAATAGTTATACATCATTAATCTTCTTTATACGTTGTACATTATACCTTCTTGTGTTCAAATGGTTTTAAATTACGTTGAAATCTTACAGTCACAGGCCTTTAAAACATCCGCATAATAAAATCTTTCATATTAGATTATAGTTAAACTTTGCAACAATTCCACATATCTTGTGTTCTGAGCTGTGGTTTCTAGTTAATCCCAACTTGAAATTGAAGTTACTGCGATGCGATTATTGCAGATTCACACATTGCGATATCAATGCTGAAATGGTATATTCATTGTGTAGCACTAGATTAAATGTGCCAGTAACACTCGATGTACACACTGGCAAATACGTGAGCTATTAGTTTTTCGCACTGTATTTGTGTTATTTTCTTCTTAAAAGTGAATTGGATATTTTACTATAGGGCCAATATTAAAGAAAAATGTGATGTTTAACATGAAAAGATGTCAAATCAAGTCAATTTGGCTTTATTGTCATTTAAACAACATACAGTGCAGTACACATTAAAACGAAACAATGTTCCTCCAGGACCAAGGTGCTACATGTAACAGCATAAATTGACAATATAACACAGGACTGTGCACTACTAAGTAGAGAAAGCAAAATTAAAAAACTTCTGAAAGTCATGGAATAAAAAATAAATATTACCATGAATAAAATAAAAATAACAGCATGTCTTCTCTACTTGGTTTCAGGGATGCGTTTTGACATGTAACCACATTGCCTAATGCGCTGAAAAGTCAGAAGTTGTGTTCATGGCAGACACACTTTTAAATTGCTCATTTATAGTAAACAGTTGAGCTGTATATTGTTATGCATTTTATTTGTGATTGTTCTGATATATTTTCTTATTTTGAATGTCAGGAAAATCTGGAGAATGCTAAAAGGTGGAGGTTTACTCAGTAATGTCTGATATGTTAAAGCATGTGACATGTGCTTTTTACCTACCTCTCATATTGACTAAATGCTAATTACACGTTCTGATACAGCTTTCAGAGGTAATTGAAAAACTCATTTGATTGGATTGCTTTCGTATTTGAAAGGCTTATGTGCCGGCAGCTAGCTCTCTGCAACTCTCACATGGTCACCCGCTGAAGCTAAGCAGGGCTGTACCTGGTCAGTACCTGGATATTAGAACACATGAGAAAGCTAGGTTGCTGCCAGAAGTGGTGTTAGTAAGGCCAGCAGGGGGTGCTCAACCTGTGGTCTGTGTGGGTCCTACTGCCCCAGTATATTGATGGGGACTCTATACTGCTCAGTGAGCGCTGTCTTTCGGATGAGACAATAAACCGAGGTGCTGAGGTTGTCATTAAAAATCCCACGTTAGAGTTGCAGTAAGCTAGTTTACGGCGACCACTTGTCTTAGCTGACCACTTGTGAAGTGATTACCAAAGAAATTGATTACAAAAAAAAAAACACTCTTACCAGGTGGAAAAAGGGCCTATTTGTGAAAAATTGTGTTTATAGTTTTCATTATCTAATCTATTGTTGTTGTTGTTGTTTTTCCCTTCCTCGTTCAATAAAGGTGAAGAGCAAGGTAAGTTTAAGTGAACTATTTACTTATTTATTTAATGTAGTTTACTGGTAACCAGGGTGCGAATTTCAGGGGTTTGGGGCCCCCTAATTAATGCTTGATGCCCCCCTGAAGGACATCCAAACAAGATCTATGGGGGGGGGGGGGTCTGCCCTGATTTGTATCTTAAACTATATTAATAATAAAAATAATAGATTTTGCTAGTTTCAGCTTGGCGCAAGAGTCGTTTTGAGGCGTTGCGCTACGCTGTTTAAATAGCAAATGCATTAGCGCGCATATGTGCGCCCATAGGCGTTCTGGTCTAAAGAGGAAGGCATTCTGAGGCGGACCGCTGGCGCGTTGCTTATTTGAGAAACTAAAATAGATTTTTCAATAGACCAAAACAAACCCGGTCTAAACTCCGGCGCAGAGTTGCGCCTCACTTAAACACTGCTTAATACGCACAAGAGAGCAATAGGCGAATATCTTTACATATGAAAAAATTTAAATATTAAGGATATTTATAGGATATAATAAGAATAGATATAGGATATAAATATAAAGGATTAAAATATTACAAAACATATTATTTTCTAGCCTACAAAAATATGAAAAATCTTTGCTTTTATGTCTTCATCTCGGGAGGCTTTTTCAGTTCATTCATAACATTTTGCTTTTGTATAATGTTATTATTATTAGCAGTATTATTTATTATATCCATATTTATATTTGTTTTATTAAAAACAAGCTTAGATTTGCCCACCTGCAGGTTTTAGACCATATGGGGCACAGCATGTGTTTTAGGATATAACTCAGGTTTTTGAACACACTTTGTTATTATTGTTCATTTATTCGTTTGCTGGAAATTAGAACTGAATATAGAAATAGTTTTGAAACGAATATTTGCGCTTAACAAATGCAATTAATTATTTGTAGACTAATTGATGTCTGTGCGTAAAGGTTTCCCTATCCAAGAGCGAAAGTGAAAGTAGATAGATTATTTCTCATTCTCACGCAGTAGATGCTCTATTGAACTGTTAAAAAAATTGTTAACTGTTTGCTAGTGAAACGCTCAGTTTTTCCACTTAGACTTACTTTACGTCCTGTAAATAGCAAATGCGCTTATGGCGCGTCGCAGCTGGTTCTTAAAGGTAATTGGAGATGAGACTCTGATTGGTTTATTCTCAAAACACACCTATAACTCATTAAGAAAATAAACTCAACCCTTTTAGACCATGCGCCATGGCGCAAAGCGGATTTTCCCATCCTTAAATTAGCAAAAACGCGCTCTGACATGCCCTGAAAGCGTTTGCGTCCTGCGTTTTGCGCTCTGCGCATGGACCGTCAAAATAGAGCCCAACAAGTTTGATTAATAAATTAGATGTAATTGAATTAAATATATAAAGTTGGTTCAATATTAAAAAAAGAAAAAACACTGATTGTCAATGTATAATTCGCACCCTGCTTGTAGCCATATATTGTGCAACCTATTAGAAGATGCCAACTATTTTATCTTCTGCACACAGATGACACAGCGATCATGGCAGTGATGGTTGCCTTATCCTCTCTGCTGGTCATTGTCTTCATCATCATCATCCTTTACATGCTCAGGTAAGATTCCCTATTTACAAACTCCATTTGGTACAAAAACTGCTCGCAACATTGAGAAAAACATAAAGACAAAGTCATGAGCAAGAAGCACTTGGAGCACAAGAGAACCAGCACAGTCGTAGAGAAAGTGTTGAGAAAGCTCCATTCATCAGGAAAGCCTCGTCGCCAGCAGGGGCCGCGGGCATCAATTGTCCAGTTGCCATGGTAATGATTGGCTTTTTGTTGGGCTCTGTTGTGGCAGGTTTAAGAAGTACAAGCAGGCAGGGAGCCACTCCAACTCCTTCCGCCTGACCAACGGCAGAGCTGACGACACAGGTGAGTTATTTCACCATCACTGATACGCCAATGGAGATTTTTTAATTTTAGTTTTATTTCTTTGTTTCTTTTTAATTTGTATTTTTTGTAAAAGTGTTTTAATTTTTTTTACAAAAACATGTGTACATATTGTTAACTTTGTTTTTATTTTAGTGCATCAAATGAAATTAAACGAAATGAAAACGAGAAATAATTCCTTCCATTCATTTATTCATTTATTTTCTTTTCGGCTTAGTTCCTTTATTAATATGGGGTCGCCACAGAGGAATCAACCACCTATTTATACAGCAAATGTTTTACGCAGCAGATACCCTTCCAGCTGCAACCCATCACAGAAAAAACACCCATACACTCTTACTCGCACACATACACTACGAACAATTTAGCCTACTCAATTCACCTGTACCGCACGTCTTTGGACTTGTGGGGGAAACCGGAGCACCCAGAGAAAACCCATGCGAACACAGGGAGAACATGCAAACTCCATACAGAAATGCCTGCTGACCTGGCGCTCGAATCAGCGATCTTCTTGCTGTGAGGTGACAGTGCTCCCCACTACGCCACCATGCAGCCCCTATATAATTAAAAAAATGTAATAATAATTAAATTAAAAAATATATTCAAATAACATTTTGCACAAGAAAATTTTAATTTTTAAAATATATTACGTATAAACTACTTTAATACTATAATATTACAGAATTAAGATTTCTTGCCATGTTGATATAATATTATATTATATGAAATTTGGTCCCACTTTATATTAAGTGTCCTTAACTACAATATACTTGCATCAAAAAATAAATACAATGTACTTACTGTGTTTATAATGTATTTGAGAACACTTGTGGTGCTTTTGAGTTGGGATAGAGGTTGGGTTATGGACAGGTTTGGTGGCATGGGTAGGTTTAAGGGTGGGTTAAGGTGTAAGGGATGGTCAACAGTGTATTTACAAATGTAATTACAGAAGTTAATTACAGATGTAATTACATACATGTATTTAATCAAGCATAAGTACACAGTAAATACATGTATTTACACAATAAGTACATTGTAACAAACTATTAATTCCTGTTTATGTACATATTAGTTAAGGCCTCTAAATAGAAAGTGGGACCTACAATTTATATAAAATCATCTTTTTAATTTTCTGTTTAGATAAAAAACAGTTTTTTAATAAATTTTTAGAATGTTTTAGAATATATTAATTATTATATATGTATTTATTTATTAACTATATATTAATTATATTAATATATAATTTATAATATATGATTTATATTTTACATACCTGAGATTCTAAACTATTAATAATTATTTAATTTTATGTTAATTTTAATAATAAAAATAATTAAACAAATTAAGAGCAATTAAATTTATATTAGCTAGCTGTAACATTGTACTGTATATCTGTGGTTGTTTTTGGAATTATTTTTATCCCTTTTTGTATCAAATATAATAAAGTTGACATTAAAATCCATTTGATTAATAGGTTGGATTCACTACTAGCTGCAAATTAAATTTTGCATCATGATTCAGTGATTTGTAATGCATGAGAGCTTTTCTCCTTGAATTGTACTTTGTTGCCCTCTGCTGGTAATCTGCTACACAGTGGTGATAAACTGCAAGTCATTCTTAAAACTGTTTCATTGAAAAAAAAACTCCTTTTAGCTTTTGTCACTGATGGACGTGTTTCTATTTTTCTTTCTCCACCCTATGTTTTTTTTCCTTGCACCATCTTACAGAACTCCAGAGTGTACCGTTATTGGCTCGCTCTCCAAGCACCAACAGGAAGTACCCGCCTCTTCCTGTCGACAAGCTGGAGGAGGAAATGAACCGTCGAATGGCTGACGACAATAAACTCTTCCGGGAAGAATTCAATGTAGGTGCACTAATCAACACTAAATTTTCAGGAATTAATGGATTATTATCTTGGTTTAACCGTCTGTTAATTATGCCATTTAAAGTCCCCCTGAAATCAAAATTAAAGTTATTTTTGTCAATATATTAGCCTTAAGGTTAACTTTAATCTAATATGCTCTAAATCAATCACAAAATTATGACCATTCAAAACTATATATATATAAACTCACTTCCACTAATAAGGAAAAGCACTTCTGCTTATCAGATTTTCTGACCAATCATATTATCTAAAGCGTCCTGCCCCCAGTAGGATGCAACTATAATGTGTCACTTGTTTACATATAACTGAGAGACCCACATACTTTCATATAAGAAAATAATAACCAATATCTGACAGTGCTGATCTGAAATTTTCCATGTTTTTCTAAGCCTGGACACATCAAGCCGACAGTCGGCAATTGGGAAGAGCCTTGTGAGCATCAAGCTATTATTGTTTGCTGTTTTCCACACTTTGCTTCTCATCTGGCTCATACTGGAGGGAGTTTATGTAGTCTTCGTAGAACCATAGAGGTAGAGAGAGAGTTGCGACAACTCCATTGATTCCAATGGAATGTTTGTTTATCATCAACGGCTGCTCATGGAGCCTCTCAATAGTTTCCATATGGTAAGAGTTACAGCTGAAGATGGTTGGTTTTGCACTTTTAAAAGTAAAATTGTTTAAACATTATCTAAGAATATAACTAACAATATTAACCTTTCATCACCGTTGTCCTTAAACTAGTGAACAATTCACATTCTTGTCCAGGACAATTTTGAAAAGCATTTTTGATTCACTTCAAATGTTGACTACTCTAGACTATTGCTACACTTTCTTTGCCTTTGAAAAAAATAGTAATTTAGACCAAACTTGAGGCTGATTTAAGGCTGTCTTTTACTTCTGCGTCAAGTGTATGCATATGCTCCACCGCAGCCTTCGCATAGCATTTGCCGTGGCTGACGCCGATGCTGGCGCTGCGCACCTGATACACGTCACAATGACGCGTGGCACAAGCTCTGTAATTGGTCTGCTTGGTAGCTGTGACGAGTGTGGGCAAGTTCTATAGCTGCGTGAACTTGTTGGAGTGAGTGTTTTACAAATGGCAAGTCAAGGAGCTTCAGTTGGAAACTGTTATTTTGTGTTTACCTTACTATTGACGTTGCGTCCGCCGGTTTTAGCTACTTGTAGCGTTCAGAAAAACAAAATACCCACAAAGAAACATGACACAGAGGAACATAAAAACCTACCGTCAGCTAGCGTTTGGGAAGTGTTATTGCAGAGCAACACAAACAGCAAGCAGAAGTACAAATGCATGGCTACACGCAAGGCAGGTGCCATGGGTCACGCAGATCACTGAACGCAGAAGTATAAATCAGCCTTTAATTCCATTGAAATCTTTCACAAATTGACTGGGAAATGACCATAATACAAAGATTTAAATAATTAGCTGTAACATTATTCAAACAAACAAAACAATAAGAATGCATAAAATAACTAAAATAAATCAACACACAGTGTAAGCATATCAGAAATGAACTTTGTTAGTGTTTAAATAAAACCATATTCTTTAAACAGATCATATAATTTTTTTGCCTTCTCATTCTTTATTATTTTTAAAGGCTCTCTATAGATGGTAAACTCCTTTTTAAAGGAGGTGCTTGTTTCAATTGAGGTGCTAGTTTCAAAATCTTGTATTCATGAATGATCAATTTAAGTAAAACAAGTAAAAAAATTGCTGTGAAGTCACCATTTTTAAATTTCACATGTCCCAGCATATAGATGAAAGCATCGAAATGTATTGTTTTATCCAGCTACCCACATCAAACCAGAAAGAACTATTGCTACACCCTCAATGACTCTTATTAGCATAGACCAAATGCTATTGGCTGTTTTTGTTTTAAAGAGGAGCTACTCAGTATATCTCACCCTCTATTCATATCTAAACTGCGCAAAAGTTCATATTCAGGGGCCTTTAAAATACAAGTTTCCTCTAATATAGTGCACTTTTGTTAGTGTGAAACTCTCTGTCATGTTCTCATGATCTTTGAGGATTTGTCTGTTCTCTGCAGGCGCTGCCGGTGTGTCCCATTCAAGCCTCATGTGATGCCGCCTCCAAGGAGGAGAATAAGGAGAAGAACAGATATGTCAACATCTTGCCCTGTAAGACTTTCCCATATTCATCTCTGAACCAAAGCTGACAAAGCACACTTTTAGTAGAAGTACATACTACAATGAACATCACTGTGTGAAAATAACTAATAAAAGTAGTATTAATACTGTGAGGCTTAACCTTGCATAATTAATTTGTCATTTTTTTCTTTTCTCTGCTGTCTTTTGCTGTTTTTCACACTTTTCCTCCTCAGATGATCATTCTAGAGTTCATTTGACCTCTCTGGAGGGTGTTCCTGACTCAGACTATATCAACGCTTCCTACATAAATGTAAGACAGTGCTGACATACTTTTAAGTTTCCTAATAATAGTCTATTTTTATTTTTTTCGTATATTGTTTATATTGACTTTTTATATCAAATCTTAATGTAGTTTTAGGCATTTTATTATTATTATTATTATTATTATTATTCATTTTTTTATTTAAATTCTTTTTTTTGGTAAATGTCTATATAGTAGTGCTGGGCAAAAATTAATTAATCCAAAATAAAAGACATAATGTGTACTGTAAATATTTATATTGGTACTATAAATACAGTATTGAAGTCTGCACTGCACACTCACAGTTTTAAAAAATTTTGGTGTGTTAATTTTGTTGATAATCTCATTGAGAAGGTCATCATTCGCACACGTTAAATAATGACTTTAAATAGCTTTATTTTACATTCTTATGAGATACAAAACACAGACGTTTCGCCACAATGCCTGCCTCAGTGCGTGACACAATCTTCTCACTCCACCCTCTTATATAAGAGGGTGGAGTGAGTTTATATAAATACACACATGCATGCATATATTTAAGAAAATGATTATTAATATTTAGCTATAAAATATACAAGCATATGATAGACAGTAGATAGAAATTGAAATATCAATGTAACAAATTATTTTTGTTTAGTTTTGTTTCTGTGTGTGTGTGTGTGTGTGTGTGTGTGTGTGTGTGTGTGTGTGTGTGTGTGTGTGTGTGTAACATATACATAATAGTACAAACTGAGCATCAGAATGGAGAAGATGGTTGTTGGTTCCAGATGGGCTGGTCTGAGTATTTCAGAAACTGCTGATCTCTACTGGGTTTTTCACGCACAACCATCTCTAGGGTTTACAGAGAATGGTCAGAAAAAGAGAAAATATCCAGTGATCAGCAGTTCTGTGGGTGCAAATGCCTTGTTGATGCCAGAGTTCAGAGGAGAATGGTCAGAGTGGTTCAAGCTGATCGAAAGGCAACATTAACTCAAATAAGCCCTCGTTAGAACCGAGGTGTGCAGAAGAGCATTTCTGAACGCACAACACAATTAACCTTGAGGTGCATGGGCTACAGCAGCAGAAGACCACACCAGGTGCTAATTCTGTCAGATAAGAATAGGAAACTGAGGCTACAGTTCACTCAAGATCACCAAAATCGAACAATAGAAATTGGAAAAATTGATTCGCATCATGGATTTTGAGCCGACAAATCTGCAGCAACTGGGTGATGCTATCATGTCAATATAGACCAAAATCTCTGAGTAATATTTCTAGTATCTTGTTGAATCTATGCAACAAAGGATTATAAGGCAGTTCTAAGGGCAAAAGGGGACCAACCCAATAGTAGTGTGTACCTAATAAAGTGGCCGGTAAGTGTGTAATACAGACACATTCGCATTTTATGAGAATAATATTTGCCCAGCACTACTATTTAGTTTTTATTAGTTTTAATTGGACATAATCAACTAAAATAACTAGAAATATTTTCTGTGCCTGTTAATGTGGATCATGCATGCTTAAATCCTTAATAATATTTGTTGAATTATATTTAAATTGAAGTCACTTTTTCATGCTTTTTGCTTTATCATCAGGGATACCAGGAGAAAAACAAATTCATTGCTGCACAAGGTACAAATCACTTTAATAAAAATCAGGGTAACACTTTATTTGATGGTCCCTATTGCATATTTTGTTGGCTAAATGTTGCATTGCAATTACATCCAGTTACCTCTCATTTGAGTATTAGTAGACTGTCTGCTTAATATCTGTTGATACCACTTCAACGCGTTTAACTGACTATAAGAAAGTTTGCAAGTACACGTCAACTTACATGAACAATAACCCCAACCTGAACCTAACAGTCTACTTTTAATCTTTTGAGAATTAGTTGGCATGTAGATGCAACGTAACCTAAATTCAACAAAATGTGTAAAGGAACCATCAAAATTAAGTGAAATCAAAATCAGTTCCGTTAAACTTCACAAACATTTATTATTATTATTATTGTTTATTTTTTTAAACAATTGTTAACTGAAGATTTGTGATGGCAGGACCAAAAGAAGAGACAGTCAATGACTACTGGAGGATGATCTGGGAGCAAAACACTGCCACCATCGTCATGGTCACCAATCTGAAGGAGCGGAAAGAGGTAAACGCCGCAACAAATGTATTCGCTGTGATCTAGTGTCAAATAAGCGTAAGCTGATCCTGTGATTTTTACGGCCTCGGCTCTTATCGCGGTCTCACATAATGGATTTAGAGTGCAACTTCCAGAATGATGGCCATTAATAAAGATGTATGATGATTGTGATAGACTGTGCTTCATGTCCGCAGTGTAAATGTGCTCAATACTGGCCTGACCAGGGATGCTGGACTTACGGAAACATCCGCGTGTCGGTAGAGGACACGATGATCTTGGTTGACTACACCATCCGGAAGTTCTGCATTCAGCAGGTAAAACTTAATTAAAATCATCATGAGAGTTGTGTTTACATGCACATTCCTAACCAAACTAAGGGTTTAAGCATAAGCTAATCATCCTAGCTAGATTTTTGCACTTTATACTCTTTTCGGCCTGAATGTAAGCTTTTAATAATCAAATATATGTAATAAAATATATGATTATGATATAATATTGTGTACTAATAAAATATTAGTGAATTTAGGCTGTATATTTTAGTGTTATTTATATACTCAGTGTGCTCGAGGGGTCTTTAAATGTCTTACATTTCAAAAATAAAATTTTAACCATTAAAAATTGTTCTATTCAACGAAATATAGTCTTGTAGGTCTTAAATCAATTTTAACAGAGCTTAAATTTCTTGTCCATGTCCATGTAAAGCTACCCAATCAGGTCAACACCCATCCAATCACCAACAAAACTCTATTTACTAATATGTTTTGTCTTCCTTACAATACTATTTGTTTAAAAGTTCTCCATGTATTTATAGACCATCTACTATATGGTAAAGATATTAGCCTCTTTCACACATACAGTCCTTTCTCAGATCATTTGTGAACAGGCCCTTTTTGAAGATACCGTAAATTAATTCCAGCAATTTTCTGGAAAGAGAAGTTATAACATTATCGGTAATTTGCTGCTTTGTGTGAATGCAGAAGGAAAATTGTCAGAAAGAGCATGTTCACGATTAGAACGCGATGATGTGAGGCATCTACTCCAGCCAATCAGAACAGTCAATCAACTTCACATCTTATGAAATAAAAAATAATACTTATTCATCCACAGAATTTGTAATGTCGTCAAATGTATAAACATTTAGTTGCGGTTTGCGCATCTGCCTATGGATGTCTTCGGGACAAAGCAGCTGCATGAATGGTAAAGATTTTAAATAAAAGCATCAACAATAGCCCGACCACTTATGTTTACATATACAAGCGCAGCCATTTAGAGGCCATTTCTGGTTAATGATTTCAGAATTTACTGGTATCTTGGAATGAATGTGTGAATGGTCTTTTCTGGAAAAATTCCAGAACCTTCTTGCCTGTGTGAACAGCCTTTTAAAGTCGGTAAAGTCGTACCGGTAATTTTCCGGATATTTAAAGATGTCAATGTGTGAAAGGGGCTATTGACCTGGACAGACTTAGTTCATTTGTTTTAATTCGTTATATTTTATGTATGTATACAACTAGTGTTATTTTGTTATGACATGTTGTTTAAAACATGTTGCTAAGAAATATCTTCTATCCCAAACAGGCCACTAGAAAAATCTTTAGTGTTTATCCCTGGATAAGTCTGAAATTTCATTCATAATGGCCTTTAAAAGTCTTAAATTTGACTCTGTAAAATGTGCAGATATATTTTAAACAATCTTTAATTTTTAAGAATTAATGTTTGTTTTTAATTTTGAGATAACGTATATTGATTTTGGTTTTCAGTTGTTCTATTTAGCTGCTTTTTTAACCCTAGTTTTCTATTTATGTTTAATATATATTTATTTTTTTAACTTTAACATTTTCGCACTAAAAGTTTTTTTTTTTTCAAGTTATATATTTCTATTTATTTATTTCTATTGTTTAGATGACAAAAAGTTAAGTAGATGATTTGGCAGATAAAAATCCTGAATCTGCTTTTTGTCAATTTGTTGTGGTTCATCTGTGGTATATGTAACAGACCTTTACTGCTCATTAAAGCTCATTTCAATATGTGGGAGATATCCAGCTTTCTTAACCCCAAGAATAAAAAAAGCAGTATCATCAACATATTGTGGGTCATTTTAATAAGCAGATTTTTTTCCCTCAGTATATTGGTGTAAATGTAAACCTGCTCAGTGACAATAGTAAGAAGTTCTAGCTCCCTCTTGTGTCGAAATGAGCCTTTCCTGAATTATAATGAGAAAGTGTGTAATAGCTGTTCTAATAAGCAGTGAGTTATCGTTGAACTGTGTGTGATTGTGAGCTCTTTTGTGTGTTCAGGTGGGGGATGTTTCCGGTAAGAAGCCTCAGAGGCTGGTCACACAGTTTCATTTCACCAGCTGGCCTGATTTTGGGGTTCCTTTCACTCCGATTGGCATGCTGAAGTTCCTAAAGAAGGTCAAGAACTGCAACCCACAGTATGCTGGACCCATAATGGTTCACTGCAGGTAAATAAGCTTTACTGTCGTCTATGAACGAGTAAAACAGAGAATACGCTACTTTTCATATAGTTGTATCTTAGTCAAATATTGTCCCATCTTAAAAGCCATACATCTATGGAAAGCCTATTTTTTCGCTTAAGTTTAAACTTTCAGATATTGTATAAATCTTCATTTCTAAAACTAGTTTTATGATTTTTTATATATATATATATATATATATATATATATATATATATATATATATATTCATATTAATATAAAATATATTATTTTGCAATATAAAACTCATTGACCCTAGACTTTTTGAATAGAAGTATGTGTTCTTTTGCTTATTGAAGGTCTATGATTTGCAATAACCAATTGTCATCTGTTGTTCTCAGTGCGGGTGTTGGCAGGACGGGCACCTTTATCGTGATAGACGCAATGCTGGACATGATGGGTGCAGAGAGAAAGGTGGACGTTTTCGGGTTTGTGACGCGGATCAGAGCCCAGCGCTGTCAGATGGTTCAGACCGATGTGAGTTCAAGCAAAACCAAAAGTCTTATTAAATTTTTTTGGGGACTCGAATTCTAATCTCCCAGCTTTCCTTTGTCCCCACAGATGCAGTATGTGTTTATTTTCCAAGCTTTGCTGGAGCACTACCTGTACGGGGACACGGAGCTGGAAGTGACGTCTCTGGAGACTCACATGAATAAACTCTACGCTCCTTTACCTGGAGCTGGCTGTGGAGGCCTGGAGGCAGAGTTTAAGGTAAATTGCTCTGTTTGGTTTCTGGTTGGTTCATCACTCCCATGTTAAAATATTATGTTTTATTTATTGTATTTTTGATCTGTTTTCAGAAACTTACCTCCATTAAAATCCAGAATGACAAGATGAGAACAGGAAACCTGCCTGCCAACATGAAGAAGAATCGTGTTTTGCAAATCATTCCATGTGAGCTGTCAATCCAACAATAATAATAGCAAGATGATGCGGATGATTTTATTAGCTTAAATATGTATAGGGTCAATAATGTTTAGAGATTTAGAAGGACATTGATAGTTTTATTTAACAGACATGCATTTAATTGATCTGAAGTGATAGTGAAGACATTGACATTATAATTGAATTTTGTATTTAATTAGTATCCTGAAAAAAATATCATTTTTAGCATTCTCAATTGTTGCAACTTTATAGTTTAGCGCTAAGGGTTAAAGAGGAAAGGTTTTGATGTGACCTTGTGAGTTTGTAGAGTCGGTGGCAAAATAGATAAACGACAACCAAATAATATAAAAAGTGAATTCATTTACAAAAGTGAAAAGAAGTCAAACAGCAAAAATATTATGTACAAGTTGGAATCTCACAAAAGAAAATAAATTAATGTATGTTATTAAGGAAAAAGAGGATTTAAAGTAGCGCCAAAAAAAAGAAAGCAATAGAACAAAAAAAACAGCTGAAAAAGACCCTTTAATCCACTTAACAGAAAATAAACAAACAAAACATCTTCAGTGTTGGCAGCATGCATTTCTAAACTACACTTCTGACCAAAATATATGTACAGCGAGTGCAGCTTACTTCTAAACTGATGTGTTTACACAGTGGAGTTTTCTGCATGTTGTGAGGTCCATGTCACGTGACATCTAAACTCTTCGATTCCCAGTGGAATTCAGAACCAATGATCAGAGATTGTGAAATAAGTACACAAAAGACGGTAACAACATACCAAAACTAAAACAACAACAAAATTCAAACTTTAAAGTCACACCAACATAATTGCACAAAACACAAGCCAATACAAAGAGCAAAAAGGCAAGCAAGACAAAAGCAAGAACAGGCTTCCTCGCTCGCGTCCCTTTGGGCTTTCATCCTAATTGGCAGCAGAGGTGAATACGTCACGTGGAGGACAATGGCGTAGAATAAAACATGAAAGTATCTAGAGTTTGTGTCACAAACCTTATACAAGCGATTTAACTGAAATACCATTGAAAAAAAAAACATTGACTTTTGGATAAGGGAACCGGAACTGCTAAAATGCTAACTTGTTTCCGGGTTTTTACATACAAATTGACGTCATAGTTCCTCCTCTCTTTGAAGATTGACGTCTTCACAGATGAGTGGGCGATCCTAAGAATTTTGACAGAAAAAATACTGTACATAGGGCTGCAACAACATTAATAATTAATGTTTTTTAAATACTTAATCAAAACATTAAAATAATCTCTAAAAGGTCATGTGACAGTGAATCCTTTCTTTGACATCAGAGAAATAAATTATAGTTATATACAATTATATAATATAATTATATGCATTCAAAGTAATTATAATTATATATATATATATATATACATATATATATATATATATATATATATATATATATATATATATCTTATACATTTTTTTTATTATTTATTGATTTTAAATGTACAAAATACCTACAGTTGTATTTGAATGAACAATCTTTTTAAATCATAAAAGTATTTTTTTTTTTTTTGAAATCCAAAAAATCCAGTCAATTTAAGGTGTACAGTTTATCTTGCCTGAGTTCTCTCTGAACTTTCCTTCTATTTTATTTCCAGATGAGTTTAACAGAGTGATCATCCCTGTAAAACGTGGAGAGGAGAACACGGATTACATCAACGCCTCTTTTATAGATGTGAGTAAAACCTCAGCCAACATTTATTTCCAACTACCCGAAGTACCACTCACTGAACCCTAACAGTAATGCTGCAATGTTCTACGCTCCATTGAGAGACCACACAGTGTGCTGCGCTTTCTTTTAGGAGTGGTTTAAACACACATTTTTCAGTCATCAAGTTAAATGGACGCCCATGTTGAGATTTGCAGCCTGGGATGGTGATTGTTTCAGAATATTTTGATTCTAGACAGAAAGGTTGATTTGATTATCATTAATATTCCTTTTTCAACCTATATGAGTTTATGTAGATTTTAACAAATCAGCTCCCGAAAGACTGCGATTTTGAGTTGAGAATTAAAAAATTTGTCATATTTTTGTTACAAAAACTCATCAATCCACTTCCCTAAGATCCTAAGACATGCATAACCCCCTGTTGGCATATGGGTTAGTTTTATTATGGATTTATGAAGCTTTTAGAAGCTTTTAAAAAGGAACACTACCCAACACCATTATACAGCTTGGAAAACCCAGGATAATGTTTAAAACTACTCTGACTGTGTTTATCTGAAAGAAGAAAGCCAGAAACACTGAAATTGGCCTAAGGGTGAGTAAATTATGGGCTCATTTTAATTTTTGGGGTGAACTACCTCTTTATTCAGCAGTCATTCACCTCATGTGCTCATGACTAGGGTTGGGTATCCTTTGGTTTTCTTTCGATACTGGTGCTAAATCGATAATTTTAAACAGTGCCTGAACTGATACCTTTTAGCCACAAAAATAATTAATCGACCAAAAAATGAATAAATTTGTATATGTGTGTATGTGTATGTATATGTGTATGTGTATGTATATGTATATGTATATATGTAACATGTATATATATGTGTGTGTGTGTGTGTGTGTGTGTGTGTGTGTGTGTGTGTGTGTGTGTGTGTGTGTGTGTGTGTGTGTGTGTGTGTAAAATCCCAATAGGTATCTTATCTACACACACATTTTTTTATCATTGTAATTGAACAATATAAATATATATTTATAATACATTTAAAGTAAACATCAATTCATATTATATATATTTGAACTGCATTAATATAATAATTAATATATTTCTTTTGATCATTTGTTTGTTAGCATAAATGCAAGATATCAGTAACATCATTGTGTCACCAGCCTAATGTTTACTCCGCAATTTGTGTCTGTGATCCTTTAAGATAATCAAACATCACTGTTTACATAGTAGACTCGTGATCAGAGGATTGTCTTAATCATATTAAAATTAGAGTATTGGTGTCCATGTTAACCTCCTTTGGATGAGACATTAAACTAGGGTCCTGACTCTCTGTTGTCATTATAAATCCCAGTATGTCTTTAAAAAAAAAAGAAGCAGTGGTTTAACCTCGGCATCCTGGCCAAATTTGCCCACTGGCCTCTGTCCATCATGGCTTCCTAACCATTCCCATATCATAATTGGCTTCATCACTCTGTATCCTCTCCAACCAAATCAGCTGGTTTGTGGTGTGGGGTCTGGCACAATATGGCTGCTGTCACATCATGCAGGTGGATGCTGCACACTGGTGGTGAATGAGGAGATTCCTCCAATGTGTAAAGTGCTTTGAGTGTTTAGAAAAGTGCTATATAAATGTAAGGAATTAATTTTTCGCATTAACCTTAACCTTATGAGTCCAAAACCACTTTAATCAAGCGTGTAACTGTTTGTTTTGGGCAATGTGATAATATTGTATAGCATAATAACAGGTTTAGTTATTATTATGCAATGAAAATGTCATACTGTCACATGCCTTGTTCTTTAACATAATTGATTAATGTCTACTGTATCCAAATGTGTGAAATATGCTTTTTGTCCTCGCATGTCTACAGGGTTACAGGCAGAAAGACTCATACATGGCGTGTCAGGGGCCGCTCCAGCACACCATCGAGGACTACTGGAGGATGATATGGGAGTGGAGGAGCTGCTCTATCGTTATGCTGACCGAGCTGGAGGAGAGAGGACAGGTACTGTCAACTTATTCCTGTCTTTCTGTTTGGGGAATTTGATCATGTCATTGCCTTATTGGTTAAAAACTCATTGAAATGATGTTTTCTGGAATGCAGCAATTCCAGATTGTAGTGCATATAGTGATATTGTAAAATATTTACTTTAGTGTGTGATATGACTAAACTGTGCTTGTGACTATTGCGATTGATTTTCTCAGTTCAGATGAGTTAAACGTGGAAAATCTTTCCATCTATCAAAATGTAAGCACATAACTCATCTGTTTTCTGTGTGTTTTTTCATTATCTGCAGGAGAAGTGTGCTCAGTATTGGCCTACAGATGGTGTGATGGTTTGTGGAGACATGTCCATCGAGCTGAAGAGGGAGGAGGAAAGTGAGAGCTACACTGTTAGGGACCTTCTAGTCACCAATAACAGAGTGAGTCTACATTAGAGGAAACAACTAACATGTGTGCTTTTCTCTTGTCTTTGTATTAGTTTAATTGGCATTCTTCTTTTTCTCTGCAGGAAAATAAGTCTCGCGCTGTGAGGCAGTTTCATTTCCATGGCTGGCCTGAGGTGGGCATCCCGTCTGATGGGAAGGGCATGATCAACATCATCGCTGCAGTTCAGAAGCAGCAGCAACAGTCTGGAAACCACCCAATCACTGTGCACTGCAGGTAAGCTACGCCTCACCCTCTAGTGAATCTGCAGCATCAAAACCTGAAATACTTCTATAGTTTGTAGTAAGATTTTATTATCAGGACAATATTTTTATGTCTTTCACCATAAGCATATGCATGTATGTGTGTGTATATACAGTTGAAGTCAGAATTATTAGCCCCCCTGTTTATTTTTTTTTCCCAAATTTCTGTTTGAAAGAGAGAAGATTTTTTTCAACACATTTCTAAACATAATAGTTTTAATAACTCATCTCTGATAACTGATTTATTTTGTCTTTGCCATGATGACAGTAAATAATATTTGACTTGATATTTTTCAAGACACTTCTATACAGCTTAAAGTGACATTTAAAGGGTTAATTAGGTTAACTAGGCAGGTTAGGGTAATTAGGCAAGTTATTGTATAACGATAGTTTGTTCTGTAGGCTATCGAAAAAAGCTTATAGGGGCTAATTTCGACCTTGAAATGGTTTCTTAAAAAAACAAAAAACTGCTTTTATTCTAGCCAAAATAAAACAAATAAGACTTTCTCCAGAAGGAAAAATATTATCAGACATACTATGAACATTTCCTTGCTCTGTTAAACACCATTTGGGAAACATTTAAAAAAGGGGGAAAAACCAGGAAACACTGTATATATTTTTTTCAATTCAACATATATAGTATTTGCAATTTTTGCATAATGAAAAACTCATGGTCATATTTTTTCAGGATTCATTCAATAATAGAAAGTTCAAAATGCTTTTAATTAGAGCAAAATAGCTATATAGATGTCTTTCCTGTTTCTTATGATCATCTTATGATTCATTGTATATTTGCTAAAAATAATGATAATGAAAATTCCCTTATTAACTGTATCATGTGTTTAACTTGACTGTTGCTGTTTTCCAAGGGGATCTGATAAATCAAAAGCAGGAAATAACAAGTTATTTAATGAATTATTGGGTTTGTTAAACTACTCAACTTAATAGACAAGTAGTTATTCAGCCCAGCCATAAATCTTGCGCGCTTGTACAGGATATTTTAGTTAGACAGGAAAGCCAACTTTAACACTGTCTTACTGGTTTGGCAGCCTAAGCAAGGTTTTGTGGTTTTTATAATGCCGGATAGAGTCCTTGTGTGCTTGGTATACTATGGCTTAACCCAAACCTGCCCGTAATTACATATCCAATGATGAAACACAGATGGAGTCCCTGTGCCCACTGGGATTTCAGGGTCAGCCAATTAAGGGAAGGAAAAGTAGGAACTTGTCTCATTAATATCCCCAGAGCTGTGGGTAATTGATGTTTTTGTGTGAACAGTGCTGGTGCAGGACGCACTGGGACATTCTGTGCTCTCAGCACAGTCCTGGAGCGGGTGAAGGCAGAGGGCATTCTGGACGTTTTCCAGACAGTGAAGAGTCTAAGACTACAGAGACCGCACATGGTGCAGACACTGGTGAGAAAATACATCTCTCGTGCTCCACTGACCCACTGAACTAGAACCACAAAGTGCAGTTGCATTGTTTGAACAAATTAGTTTTTATTAGTCATAAAAAGTAGGAGATTTGAAGAAAGTGTATTAGTGATTTTCCTTTAAAAAATTCTGTTTAAAATGTTTTATTACTATATGAAACCATTAAGCTAAATAAGAAGCATTACTGTTAATTTTGATTAATTTATTAAAAGTATTAAAATGATAATCTTTGTTTGTGTGACCACATTTTATAAGCTAGCATATACCTAATGCTCAGTATCTACAGTATGTGCTGCTGCTAACTACATATTTTATTAGAAGGCAGCCCTAAAAATCCCAATAGGTATCTTATTTAAATAATCCGCTTGTTAAGTGGTGACGTGTTGGTGACGTATGTAATACTGTTTCCAGGTTAAAGCCGCTATTCATTTGAGTTGAGAAATCATTCGTTTATGATCTCCTTTTTTCATATCACACATTAACGTTAATTTTACATAAAGTCATAGTGTACACAACAATCTCTGGGCTTGTTGCATACCAAATACCAATTTATTTACAATTTATAAAAAAATTAATCCCTTTCTGGTCATTGAATATTAGGCATGGACATGTATATTGCGATGGTAATTTTCGAAAGTATTCAATCGCTTTGTAAACGATTATTATTACCATTTCATGAGTCTCCCCATTCAGTTGAATAGAGTGATTGGACCCGAAAGCAGCTTCGCTAACATCACACTTAACAAGCGGATTTGGCTTCATTTTTGTCATTTTAAGCTTCAAAAAAAAAAAAGTAAAAAAAAATTCTAAATTTAAACCACCAATCTTTTATATTGGACCTAAAACCCCAGGAGACCAATAAAAACTGCTGGTTTTCAAAACCAGTTTTAAAAGATTGTTGTTGTGTGTTTTATGTTCATAAATGCAGATTATGTTCCTCTCAGTGTTGTGATGTTTACTATGAACCGGGTTGCTAGGAGACATTGAAAACACTGGCTTGTGAGAGCTGCTTACATCATGTAACTTGCAAGTTTTGGTTTTTGGGGGTCTCCAGCAACAGACTGATATGCATGCAAGGTCAAAAAACACTTTCATTATCTTATAATATGCATTTATTTTTGCCTAATTATCCCAACGACTCCAATATGATTTGCTCAGCAATTAATTTGTAACCAAAGCCCTCTTAGCGAGATGCTAATCTGCTCTGATTGGTCCGATGACCCAGTCTGTTACGCTTATCAACATTGTTGAAGTAGTCAGAGTGCAAGAGTGTATGTGTGAGCCCAGTTGTCATTATAAACAGTTAAACACTAGCATATTACTCTATTCTTAACCATAAGTAAAAACAGTGACGCACATTCAGTATTAATCCACACAGTGGCAAAGGCTGAACTGTTTTAAACCTTGATTTGAGTTGAGTGTAGAAACAGCTGATGATGGCCTTAGCAATGATAAATGGCAGAGAATCGTGAGCTCACAAACACTTTAAATCTGTAAACAAAGCCTTACAGGTCAAATTTTTAACATGGTTTTAGACGTGATATGTGAACATAACGAGTACAGGCCACATGATGCGATTACAAGTAACAAAACACAATTAAATACATATTTTGCAAGCTGGAGAAAACAAGGAGGCAACCATTTTAATCGCACTTACTTACACTTGTGAAATGGAGGAAGAAACTGATCCATGAACTGTGTGCTGTAAAGCTCCTGTCAAGATCTGACAAAGTACCATACATCAACAGTTTTTTCTGATCCTTCCTTTAACAAACGGCTGACGAAACCCGGTGCAGGGTAGATTACTGCATTAATCACAAGAACGTTCACTCATTATTGTTCACTCATCTTCAGTCATGATCAGTCTCTCACACACACACACACACACACACACACACACACGTTCACGTTTTACCGGGTCTGGCACAGAACATATTGGGTATTGTTTCGTGTTGATGTTGATACGAACAGGCAAAAGATCCGGACAAATCATTTAAACGACTCTGAGTCGAATCTTTTTATTAAAAAATCTATATTTTCAGACATTCTGCACTATCAGATTTAAACATAAGCTGGATTTTTTCATTCACTTAGAGCTGTGTTGCACACTGCATGGAAGGTCATTTTCAAAAACCTGTAATAGGGGATCTTTAAGAACCGCTTTTATTGATGTAAATTGCAGCCTTTTTAATTTGATGATTAAACAAGGCCATTGAGTTTCATTCCTGTCACTTTTAGAAATTTAAATCTCTACTTTTTGCACAATAGTCATTTTTCTTGTCCATGCTGCCAGATTTATAAAGCACCAGCAAAAGAATGCAGGCAGACTATTGGCCTATTATTACATCAGCTAATTAATATTCATGAACCAAGCTTTTAAGGTTTTTGCCTTGTTTTGTTTTTAATACTAAAATCCCAAGCTCTGTTCAGCTCACATTGTCCTGCTTTTGCCCACAGGAGCAGTACGAGTTCTGCTACAAAGTGGTCCAGGAATACATCGATGCCTTCTCTGACTACGCCAACTTTAAGTAAAGCCACGGTCACCAGACTTTACCAGTCTTGCACTCACGTCCACACTTTCACCTAAACACAGCTAAACGAGACAGACTGCCAGCGCAAAGCAAAAGGGAACGCAAAAATCCTTTGGCCGGCAACCACAAGAACATGATGCCGAAAGTGAAAAACAAAAACAAAGCAAACACCATTAGAGATGCCTTCTTGAATATTTTGTAATATTGCTCTTGTTAATACGGCCCTTTCCCATTTTTCTCAGTGTAAATATGCTCTTGTAATTTTATTTTTATTTTTTTTGGTTTTAGAAGCTGTTTCATTGCGGCTTTTAGAGTGACCTTAATATAGTTTACTGGTATATAAATACATACATGAATATTTTAAAACGGCGCTTTGGAGACAGACGTTAAAAGAGAGGTAGCAAGTTGAGGGTGCTTTTCACTGGGTGTTTTACAAAACAAAAAACCTTCTTTTTCTGCAGTTAAGTGACTGACAACTATTTAAATGGCAGCTCAATCCCTCTTTGCTGTTGCCTGTAGCTACGTAGCGCACAAAGTGACTAATTGGAACCAATCACGGTGCATTAGGCACAGTAATCGAGCGTGTTCACGATTAAAAGAAATTCACTGTGCTTTCCGATTATGTTCACTGGAGTGACGGATAACATTCTGTGTGTTTTGACACTCTCGTTGTGTCTATTTTTTTATTTAATTTTTTTACATTTTTGGGGGAATTATGACTTAAGATTGAAGATGCTAAAACGGTCAAATGTGTTTTTAAGCTGCCGGTTTTGTTTCAATGGGTCAGAACCAATTTGTTATCCGCTTTAGTCCAAACTAGAAAATATTAGAGTAAGACTTTAAAAGAAAAGAGGATTCCCTGAGCGTTTCGATGAAAGGAAATACAGCTTTAGACTGTTCATGTTATTTCTTTTCTATCATTTTGTCCCCTCACAATGGTGTACTCTCTTCATCCTAACTTCTTTTCTAGATTACTCTAAAAGCACCTTCTGTGTTTGTGATTGTAACCAAGGAAGTGATGTGTTTACTTGCCTGGATGTCTGTTTGATTGGCCTTAACAACTGTACACTAAGCTTTCATTATGTACAGGCAGTTACTTTTCCTTCCTTCAAAGATTAATGGTCCCGCCAGGCTGACTACTGGTGCATAATAGATCCAGAAAGTTCTATTCAAATTGACACATGATCACCTGATCATCTGTTCCTGCCCGTTTGAAGGACTTCAGCCTTTGTGCTGAAGCCAGTGAGCCCTTTCCAGCTCCACTGAGCCAGTTAGATCCGTAAACATTATAGATATTAGGCCCAAAGTGGCGATGAGTGCTTTAAATTTCTCCTTTCTAAAAGAACAGGTGGATGATGGTGTAAATGAGAACATTCATCATCTGTTTAACTTGTGAGAGTTTCACACATAGGAGACGTTATATGATGAAAGCTAAACATGTAATGCTGATTGTCATTGAATTTTTGGTGAATGTTTTCTGTAGGTTAAATGGTTGGTTCATCCCAAAGTTCAACGTCTTGCCACTCACCCTTGTGACATTCCAAACCATTTTCAAAACACAAATGAAAATGTTTTTAATCAAATCTGATTGATTTCTGTTTCATTGAAAGTCATTGAGTTTTCAAAACCTGTAACTCCAGTGGTTTAATCCAATCTTTTAAAAAGACATGAAGACTTTATAAGATATATATATATATATATATATATATATATATATATATATATATATATATATATATATATATATATATATATGTATGTATGTATATTTAATTTAGGTTTTAATCATATTTAAACATTTAAAATGTTTACACATTCAAATTTGGTCACCGAGACTCAATCGAGCTTGCTTGATCCTTGCTAGGGTTGTCACAATACTGGATTCATGGAACTTGGTACCAGTCGATACTACAATAAAAAAAAAAAAAGTTAATTTCCTGTAAACATTTGACCGCTGTTGAGAATGTTTGTGAACAATAGAAAATTAACGCTTTTAACAAACATAATCAACAGTGCTCAAATGTTCACAGGAGATTTCTGAGAACTTTCAAAGTCACGTCGATCAGCTGGTTTGTCTATAAGCCGACATAGGAGCGATTAGCTTTAAAACACACCAGTGTCCCTGAATCTCTGGTTACACTCAGTAAAGTGAGTTCGGTGATCTGATGACCTTCACAGCCAATCACAGTCATTTCTGTTGAGCGTGTTTAAGAACGTGCTCAACAGCGCTTAAATGTTAGCGGAAAATGGACATTTTTAAAATGTCAGATATCAGATCGCTTTCAAAGTCTCGTCGATCACATGGTTTGTCTATAAGCTGACATATGAGAGATCAGCTATTGAATCACAGCTTCAAAACGCTCCAGTGTCCCTGTATCTGTGGTTACACTCAGTAAACAGAGGTGAGTTCGGTGAACTGATGACCTTCATGGCCAATCACAGTCATTTCTGTTGAGCGTGTTTAAGAACGTGCTCAACAGCGCTCAAATGTTAGCGGAAAATGGACATTTTTAAAATGTCAGATATCAGATCACTTTTAAAGTCTCGTCGATCACCTGGTTTGTCTATAAGCTGATATAGGAGAGATCAGCTAATGAATCACAGCTCTACAATGCTCCAGTGTCCCTGTATCTGTGGTTACACTCAGTAAACAGAGGTGAGTTTGGTGTACTGATGACCTTCTTGGCCAATCACAGTCATTTCTGTTGAATGTGTTTAAGAATGTGCTCAACAGCGCTCAAATATTCACGGAAAAATAGAGGTTTTTAAAATTTCAGATTTCAGAGTGCTTTCAAAGTCGTGTTGATCACCTGGTTTGTTTATAAGCTGATATACAAGCAATCAGCTAATGAATCGCAGCTTTAAAACACTCCAGTGTCCCTGTATCTGTGTTTACACTCGGTAAACAGCTGTGAATTCAGTGAATTGATGACCTTCACGGCCAATCACAGTCATTTCTGTTGAGCGTGTTCAAGAATGTGCTCAACAGCGCTCAAATGTTAGTGGGTTTTTAAAATGTCAGTATCGATTGGTAATGAATTCCGGTATCGTGACAACACTATTGTGCATTAGGTATTTTTGTGCTTCTTTTTATTATTGGTCTTTATACATGAACAAAGGCTTAAATGCAGTATAAAGCAGTTTTTTGGTCTCTTCGTTTAATTGAAGTTTGTGTGACTTTCAATGGAGCAACAAGACGATGAATCAATAATGGCGGGATTCATTTTGTCGTGAACAAACCATTTAAGCCCTCAATCCACACTGCCTTGTGGTCATGTACGTTTTATGAAATGTTTTAGCTCCTAAATGTATGTAAAACCCAATGGGTGTCGCTCGAATTCACTCACCCATCGGTCATTCCATGTTAACAGGGATCTCGATGGAAACCTTTTATATATTATTTCAGATCCATGATGTTTCAGTCAATGAGTTACGGGATCTCGTATATTCAGCTTCAACTTAAGATATCCCATGAAATGCTGACGGATGTGCTTGAATATTGTGTGATTTATCGACTGTTGTGATTTGCTTCGTCACACTAACCCTTTCCATATGAGACACTGTGCCAATAGCAGCCTCTCAGGGGCCGGATCCTTCTTCAGAGGTGGGAAAGTGCCTCATCACGTTCCTGTAGCTTCGAGCATATTCCCGCCTGCTCTTTTGTAGCCCACATGTCCCAATCCCACAACCGGACATCGTGGCCCGTATGGCGTATGATAATCTGTAATGGAATCAAAGCGTTTACTGGTTAGTTGCTCCATGGTGTGTCAAGGATTTTAAGCTTTTTTCATTATTATTATTCCCTTTACATACCATATAAAACCATCCTGGAGGAAGTACCGGACTTCAGGTCAAAGCCCTCAAAACACAAGCTCTTAGTGCATGGAGAGCAATCTGATCCAAAAGGGAAGCCACGTGTTTGGAGGAATGAGGAAAAAGACTGAAAAGTAAAGGGTTGTGCTCTCCAACAATCACACTTTGAGGATTCCGTCTGAGATCTGATTGGATCGTTCCTAAATTTTCGACTGTTCCGTTAATACTAAAACGTTCCTTTTTCTGTTTTTATTCTTTCCTCTTTGTGCACCCTTCTGTACATAATGTAAGTTTATTTATATTTCATTCCTGTCTGTTGCCTTGCTTTTATTTTATTTTTATCTTTCCCTCGCTTTTATAAGATACTTGTATATTAAACTGTACTGGGACCATTTTGAAATGTATTCAATGTTTTTTCCCCTTGTTTTTAATTCGGTATTATTGTCTTAAAATCTTATTTTTCATTTGCATCTGTTTTTTTTTCTAGTGTTTTGTTATTCAAACTTGAATATATATGTATATATATAATTATATATATGATGCAAATTATATATAATTATATAATGCCAAACGGCCTTTCTAAACAAGATACTGTTCAAACCTAATAAAAGTGCTTGAGATTTTATCTGCTGTCTTTTTTTTTTGTAATAAATTACACTGAATAAAAAGGATTCATTGGATTTACAATTGTTGTAAGGTAAGTATTGGAAACAATTTATATGGGCTGAATAGAAACAAGTAATGCTGAACATTACTAAACTTATTTTAAAAATTCAGCCCCTAGAAACTGTCTGTAACCACTTAAATTTAGTAAATCCAAGTAATCATTTTTTTAGTGTAGTTAAACACCTAGACCTCAATCCCATTTTGGAAACAATGCAAGTTATGTATCTGAATAACGCAGCTAAGTAACTACTATGCACCGGTTTCTGGCAACCCCTCTGATCGGATACTAAGTTGGCAATCCGGGGATGTCATAAACCAGGGGTTTCCAAACTCGGTCCTGGAGAGTTAAGCTCCAATCCTAATCAAACACACCTAAACTAGCTAATCAAGCTCTTACTAGACATACTAGAAACTTCTGGGCAGGTGTGTTGAGGCAAGTTGGAGCTAAACTTAGCAGGACAGTTTGGACTGCCCTATTATAGACCGTACCAAAAAGCTTAGACCTGGGGGGGCGGTGGTGGTGGGGGGTGAAATTACGACAGTTTTCTGGAAGAAATAAAACAAGAGGGTGGTGGGAGATGAGTCTGAATACTTGAGTGTTGGCAGGTATGGTTGTGCAGCAACGGCGCATCGTTGAGCATATGTCCGGCTAGTTTGTTTGGTGTCTTGCCTCTTGTCTGGAGGCTGTTGGAGAGAGTTTGCAGGATTTAGCATGTAGCAATTGGCGTTAGACATCTGTGAAGGAGAGCACTCTGAATGGCTGTTCAGCTTTAAATTCAAGAACAAAAACTTAAGTGACAATCACTTCACTTCCCGCCTTAAGGTACTATGCCGATCCTTCCCCTCATTCTGTTCCCCACACTTTCCTGTTTATAATCTCTATTTTTTTTATTCATCTTTATTTCTATAGCGCTTTTACAATGTAGATTGTGTCAAAGCAGCTTAACATAGAAGTTCTAGTAGATTGAAACTGTCAATCCAGATTTCAGAGTTGAAGCTCAGATTAGTTCAGTTCAATGTGGTTTAGTTTTTACTGCTGAAAGACTAAACATTGACGATGCACAGCTTTACAACTCACAAATCAAATGGCGAGGACCAAACCTTACCAATTGATAAAAGTGAAGGAAAAAACCTTGAGACAAAACAGGACTAGATCTGGTACAGACTGCTGCCACCTATGAGATATGTCCTTTCCTGCAATCCTAGGATGCACATTCTCGGTTCAGTTAGCTGGCGTCTGTTTGGCGTTTTCACATTTGGCTTTTTAGTCTAGACTGGAATAAATGCAGCATATGCAAGGCAACAACCTTGTCCTTTTTTTTTTTTTTTTTTTTTTTTTGTATTAGCGCTAGTTTTTTGCCATTTGTTTTGTGTGTCCTGGGCTTAACCCCCCTGATTCTACTTGCCCCATTTGGACTAATATTGAAAAGGGAGTCTCTGGCATGGTAGGTGGATTCACTAAAAAGGATGCTAAAAGGAATAGCCTCTTGAGCGTAATTACACTTGCAGTTCTAAACCTCATTGCCATCTAGTTCATGGCACCACTGTTAACCCCTCAGATTTTTCATGTCCCAATGAAGAGTGTTTCAACTCTCTGTTTTCCAGCATGAAAGGTATGCTAACAAGGACGTTAGCGTGCTTCTTGAGACCAGAGGTGTGTGGTTTACTTGCACTGTTAAAATCTCACATGTCTCAGCTCATGGCACCAAATCAAACTTTTCAATTCTGAGTAGAAGAAACAAAAGCAAGCTACTCAAGATGGCAGCAGCATTACTGATTTCATTAATGATGGGATTATGAAGATATCCTCCACTCTATTTTAAATGAGTGCATCATCTTGATAGAAAAATGCCATCCCTAGACAGAAATGAATCTTTCTAGTGCGTACCTGTTGAGCGCCTCTGTTTGTCCATGTCATAAATTAGGATTTACTTTGAAAGGCTGTGCATTCGTGTACAAACCTGAGCGTACTTTGAGCTTAAGAAACTCCTTTCAGAAACAATTAGGGAATCTATCAACTCCTGTTTTTTGATGTTATGTATCAGTAGTACACAATCTATTAGATATCATATCAATTTAACAAACTTGTCTTCTCTAAATATCTGAATGCGTCAGTAAATCTTTATCTTTAAACTGGCGTTTGGCATATCTGAAAATCCCCTGCCATTTGTAAGACCCAGAGCGTGGAAAACCCTTGATCCCTGAGGGGAAATTCGTGTAGTGAGTCTTGACGCCTTGTGTCACCTTGTCTCGCATCCTTCCTGGCCTTTTAGACCTGGTGTCAGTGTCGGGATGTGGATGGATTATCCTTGCAGACCCCTGCGCGTGTTTAAACAGTGTTTGACAGGAACTCAATCAGAAGTTGAAAGTCTGCGATGAGTTAGTGATACGCCGTCCGTCACATTCTCTGCTCTCATCACCCATGGGAGACCTTTTCTGTGATTAAGAATGAAGTCCGGGTGGTGTGTTTGCAAAGGCTTTCTCTCTTTGGGCCGGTTTGCATCTTGTGGGGGTCAAGGTGACACAGATCACAGATGTGAGGTCACTGTGGCCACTTTTTACAGCTTGGAGGAAATTAGCAAGACATTGACTTTTTAAATAAAACATGCTCATCTAAAATGTGTGATATTGAGGTCACTGGAGCTGCTGCCATATCTGAAATATTGAATGTTTACAGAGCATTGTATGCATGTAAAATACAATAGTGGCACTTGTTTTTTCTCATATTAAAATGTTTGAAGTCATTTATCATTATGAAATAAATAAAGTCATCTGTAAATTTGTAAAATATTGCTCTTTGATTTATCTAAAATGGATCATAAATTCCAGAATATATATATATATATATATATATATATATATATATATATATATATATATATATATATATATATATATATATATATATATATATATATATACATACATACACAAACATATATATATATATATATATATGTTTGTGTATTGTGTATATGTATATATATGTTTGTATATATATATCTGCCAGCTTATCCAACACATGATTTACGCAGCAGATTTCCTTGCAGTGGCAAGCCGTCTCTATAAAGCACATACACACTCATTTACACACACATTCACACACTACGGTCAATTTTAGCACACCCAATTCACCTGTACCACATGTCTTTGGACTTGTAAGGGAAACTGGAGCACCCGGAGGACACCCGAACACAGGGAGAACATGCAAACTCCACACAGAAATGCCAACTGACCCAGTCGAGGCTTGAACCAGCGACTTTCTTGCTGCGAGGTGATCGTGCTTCCCACTGCGCCACCATGACACCCCCTTTACAGTTTTGTTTAACATAAAAGTAAATGTAACCAATAAAAATAATTGTTTTTGATTACAAACACCATCTAATATATAGTGTTTAGGCAAGACTTATGTATGTATGTGCATATACAGTTGAAGTCTGAATTATTAGCCCCCCTGAATTATTAGTCCCCCTGATTATTTTTCCCTAATTTCTGTTTAACAGAGAGAAGATTTTTTTTCAACACATTTCTAAACATAATAGTTTTAATAACTCATCTCTAATAACTGATTTATTTAGTCTTTGCCATGATGACAGTAAATAATATTTTACAAGATGTTTTTCAAGACACTTCTATACAGCTTAAAGTGACATTTAAAGGCTTAACTAGGTTAATTAGGCAGGTTCCAGTAATTAGTCAAGTTATTGTATGACGATGGTGTGTTCTGTAGACTATTAAAAACAATTTAGCTCTAAGGGGATAATATTTTGTCATTAAAATGGTGTTTAAAAAAATTCACACTGCTTTTATTCTAGCCAAAATAAAACAAATAAGACTTTCTCCAGAAGAAATTAATACCAGACATATATATATATATTGCTGAAGTCTTAATAACAGCAAATTTACGCACGTTTTTATGCCTAACACATTGATGGCAGTGTTGTGTTGGTGAAAAGAGGACGTCATCCCAAGAGGGTCAACAGTGTTTGAAGATGATAATTGGAATTGAGCTCATCTTTCACATGCTTCTCTCCCAGTGGAACCACAATGACCAGTCAAAGTGTTTGAGACTTGAAGGTCAAAGTGTGTGTGTGTTCAGACGGGGAGGGGAGATGTGCGGTGGGAAATAAATTGTGAGGAAGAGAAGTACGAAGATTTCAGAGAATGAGTGGCAGAAGTATCTCAGAGGCTCTGTGATTTCACTCAACCGCTCACTTCAGGAAAAAGAGAACATTTCAGGATTACCAACACCGGGACTACAGTAGAGGAGCTACAGCAAAAGATACCTCAAGAGAAGACGTGCCAAAATATTAGACTGAAGGTAGACTTCATTTATTATTATTATTTTTTAAGGTTATTATTGGAATTGAAAAATAATTGAAGTATGTCTGTCTTAAGCAACAATGTACTGTAGGTGAATTGTCTTCAATCGTGACTATATGTACAATCTGAAATGCCCTGTGTGACTTATAGGCTATTCATTTTTAAAAATAAGGTACCACAAAATAAATGTTGAAGCCAAAAAAGGGTATTTTAAATTAAATGATGGGTACCATTTCCAGTGTTTGGAAAACGTTTCAAATAGTCTACATAGTGAAAACTGAATGAAGATTATATACTTAGGCTATTCTTTGTCTATATCCTCATGAAAGTAGTCTTACACTTGGAATTTGAATGTGGCATTATTATCGCAATATCTGTTGTAAAAAACTGATGGCAATTGTCTTTGTATTCAATAAATCACCCCAATAGGCTATTTAAAAGTATTATAGCTTAATACCTGCTGCTGGAAACATTCATTAACATAAGATGAACTATTGTTTTACAACAAATATAGCCATACACATACAGTTGAAGTCATAATTATTAGCTCCCTGGTTTCATTTTTACCCCAATTTCTGTTTAACAAAGAGAAGATTATTTTTTCAGCACATTTTTAAACATAATAGTTTTTATAACTCATTTCTAATAACTGATTTATTTTATCTTTGCCATTATAACAGTAAATAATATTTGACTAGATATTTTTCAAGACACTTCTATACAGCTAAAAGTGACATTTAAAGGCTTAACTAGGCAGGTTAGGGTAATAAGGCAAGTTATTGTATAATGATGGTTTGTTCTGTAGACTATCGAAAAAAAATTAGCTTAAAGGGGCTAATAATTTTGTCCCCAAAATGGTTTTAAAAAATTTAAAACTGCTTTTATTCTTGCTGAAATAAAGCAAATAACACTTTCTCCTGAAGAAAAAATATTATCAGACATACTGTGAAAATTTCCTTGCTCTGTTAAATATCATTTGGGACATATTTAAAAAAGAAAAAAAATTTGAAGGGGGGCTAATAATTCTGACTTTAACAGTACATAAATATCATTTATTTTATAGGCTAGCAATTGTTTACAGTTTAGCCACAGTTACTTCTGACCCATGATTCACAGAGATCATTATGAGGCGTAAGAAAAAGAATGAGTTTTAAGACGTTTAAAATGAAAACAAACCATTTCACAAAATATTTCTAAACCGCCACCAAATATTGTCTTTCACCTCAGAAACTAATATAGGCTAGTAATTGTTCTCACTGGTTTTGCCAACAGTGATTTAATTTGTTCAATTTCGATAGGCTACTGAAAATATTCTGATTGAAGACTGATGTCATTATGTTTAACGCCAATAACGTCTCCTGATATCATTAGACCTGACTGGATGTGTATTTGACCTTCTTCCGAGTATCTGCACTCACTCAGTGTGTGTGGTTCCTCAGTGATGGTGCTGGTCTGCAGGCTGCTGTTGGTCATGGGGCTGATGCTGTGTCTGAGTGCTCAGTTGAGCAGCGCTCAGCACTGGTCTCACGGCTGGTATCCTGGAGGAAAGAGAGAGATAGACCTCTACGACACCTCAGAGGTGGGACAATATTCATCAACAACATATACTTTATTTTAAAACTTTACATTAGTAAGGTATTTAATCTACTAGCTATACAGTTGAAGTCAGAATTATTAGCCCCCCTTTGGTTTTTTTCATTTTTAAAAATTCCCAAAATGATGTACGGAAATTTTTACAGTATGTCTGATAATATTTTTTTCTTCAGGAGAAAGTTGTATTTGTTTTATTTTGGCTAGAATAAAAGCAGTTTAAATTTTTTTTAAACATCTTAAGGTCAAAATTATTAAGCTCGTTAGGCTATTTTTTTCAACAGTCTACAGAACAAACTATCGCTATACAATACCTTGTCTAATTACCCTAACCTGCCTAGTTAACCTAACTAACCTAGTTAAGCCTTTAAATGTCACTTTAAGCTGTATAGAAGTGTCTTGGAAAATATCTAGTAAATATTATTTACTGTCATCATGGCAAAGATAAAATAAATCAGTTATTAGAAATGAGTTATAAAAACTATTATGTTTAGAAATGTGTTGAAAATATTCTTCTCTCCGTTAAAGAGAAAGTGGGGGTAAAAATTAACAGGGGGCTAATAATTCTGACTTCAACTGTATATTACTGTATCTATACAGTTTCACCAAAGGACTGAATAGCACTATTTGTAAACAATTTATGGTCACATTTTATTTTAAGATTCAATACTGTGTCTTTTGCCTCAAATATAAACTCAGAATTTGCTCTTTATCAATAGTTATTAAGGTAGCTTAGGTAATGGGTAGGATTAGAGATGTAGAATAAGATCATACAGAATATGCAGATTATAAGCAGCCAGTGACATGCATGCTAATAACCAAGTAGTAAAGGGTGAGAATTGGTTCCTAAAGTGTTACCCAATGTATTGATTGATAGGGTTGATTCGGTGGGAAAGTGAATAATGCAAAAAAAAAAAAAAGTAATTAACAAACTACAATCATAGATAAATACAATAAAGCAAAGATAAAAGTGAAATAAATAGTGCATGCATTTGTAGATTTTGTAAATGTAAAAATGACACTGCAAAGTCTTTACTGTATAAATAATTCAATATAATTATTCTTTATTGAACTCCCAATTGGTCAGATTTATTGTGGTTGAATACTTCAATCTCTCTCAAGCCACAAAAGCATGCAAATTATAAGATTTCAATCCATTGTAGATGAACTTAGAGCTTCACAGCAATACTTATGTACACTTTTTTTTTTAGGTTTTTTTTTTACTATACATTTGCAACAATTTCAAAATTTGTTTTTCATATTGTCATTATGGGGTATTGTGTGTAGAATTTGAGACAATAAATGAATTTAATCCATTTTGGAACTCTGCAGTGACTCCCCAAATAATAACTATAATCCCAACTCAACATTGCACATCTATACAATGTGACTATTGCACAGACACACACTGCGATATTAATACTGAAACAATATATTGTGCAGCCCTAATTTGAACATTTTTATTTTTAATGCATATACTACATTGTAGTGGTTAACATCAGTTGCTTTATTGTAATCTCACATGCCTTATAAACTGTTTGTGTTGGTAGTGCTGCACTTTATCCCAATGTTTATTAGCTTCCTTTGGAGAGACATATTTTTATGAACATGATTACATTGCCTACGGTTTTACTTTAAAATCAGGTTTCAGAGGAAGTGAAGCTCTGCGAGGCAGGAAAATGCAGTTACCTGAGACCGCAGGGAAGAAACATCCTCAAGACAATACTGGTGGGTGCTCAAACAAATAGTTAAATAAGCTATATTGATGACTGGATCTTATGAGTTACTCCTGTCTGACTTGTTTTACATTGGTTTTATCAGCTGGATGCCCTCATTCGTGATTTCCAAAAGAGAAAGTGACACCAAGCTGATGCTTCAGCCTGTGTCCAAAGAAACATCTTTTCCAGCAAACACATTTGGCCTGCCTTTTCATTCCAAACTGTATATATTGTGTTATTCCTGTGACTTTATTTCTTTCATTTTGTATGTGTATGTTTAGTTCTGTTCTCATATTCATTGTGAGTAAATCGACTGCCGGCACCGTGTACCCATTTGCAGCAGTTCCTACAATAAAGGCTTTATTTTGGTATTTTGTTTTAATTGTTCAGTGTCTTCTTTAACTTTGTTCACAGATTTTGCATAACACAAGAGATTGATTGTTTTATTTTTTTTTTTTGCAATTTTTAAAACTTATTTTTTCTCCATAAAGTAGAGTGTGTGCTGTTTAATTGTTTTTATGATGACAATGTTTAGCATGGCCCAATTCTTAAGAAATCAGTCTCATGTGCTGATTTTCTGTATGCAGGTAATATTTCCTAAATTATCAATTTTGAAAACATGTTTGCTGCTTAATGTTTTTGAAAAAAATAGGCTTTACAAGTTTATTTGATTTAATCACATAAGTAAATTAATGAGTCATTTCCTAAATAAAAAATCACAAGAATATAAAATTGTGTGATTTATTTATTTATTGACATTTTTAATTACTTTTTTGTTGAAAGTTAATTTAATTTAAATAATTACAATAATTATCCGTAGGAGTTTTAAATGTTTGTGATAGCAGGCTTTTCTGTGAAATTACAGTAAAACATTAATTTTCTGAATGTTATTACAATATAAATCAATGGTTTTCTCAACGCAGTAAATATTTGCTAATATAATATTATCAATTTTAAAAACAACTTTGCTGCTTAATTTTTTGAAAGAATTCCACACTTTACAAGTTTCTTTGATTCAATCACATATAAATGAATGCATCCTTTCTTAAATAAAAAAAATCATGAGCATACATTTCAACATATTTATTTCTTATTAATGCATATACTACATTATAGTGATTTTATAGTGATTAACATTAATAATGACAATGAAAAATAACGGCAACCATAGATTATACCTTGCATGATCATAGTTTTATATAAAAGAAAACCGTTTGCATGTTTATAAAAAGAATAATTTCATAAATCATCGCTTTAAGCATCTAAAGTACTAATTGATCACTTAAAATTGTATACACTGCTGCTATATGTCAACCCACTAAGACTTATCAATTGATCAATATAGGTTTTTATTGATTTAAAAATATTCTGACATTTAATACATACAATATATTAATAAGAACAAATCAAAGTATATTATAATAATTATAAATATGTTTAATTTATACAGCTGGTATGATATAGTATGAGTGATGGTGGAATATTATTTATTTGATTATTTCATTATTATTACACAATTGCATCATGTAAAATTAGACACCAAAATTGGACATCTCATCTTTGAACCATATTAACCCATATTCGTACTTTATATTTTTTAGATTATTATATGTATTATTTTAGATTACATTTTAATGTAAATCTTTAAAACAAAAATGTTAGATAATTTTCTAAATTATTATTATTATTATTATTATTATTATTATTATTATTATTATTATTATTATTATTATTATTATTATTATTATTATTATCACATCAATACATTCATATTTTTTGTTAGCCACCAGATGGCGCAAATAGATATACTTAAACACTCAAACATGATACATCAGAGATGCCCAAAGTAGGGCCCACGGGGCAAAGTTGGCCCATGGTAACCTTTGGTTTGGTCCGCCATCCCATCAGAAAAGAAAGGGAGAATGATGGGGAGAGGTTGGGGTGAATGTCTTTGACAGAGATCGTCATTTCAAATTTAATCCTTTTGTTATATGTTAACTGAGAAGTTACAAAAAAAGCCAACCAAAATGTTTCATATGACTCAGACTTTTACAATGTAAATACTATCACTTGACAGACAGAAGACGATGCACAAGGCAAATTAAAGCAAAAGGCAGGAACAGCTCGACTTGTGTATTTAGAGTTGAGCTCCATTGTGTTAGAGATGGGATTGTTTATGTTTTTACTATATAGTATGATTATAAAACGTTATAAATTATACTGCATCATTATTTAATATATTTAAAGCATTTTCTCTAGTTATTTTTAAATAACAAGTAAACAAATGAGCAAATTTAATGTAATGCGTTTTTATTTCACTTCGGCCCACAGCCTCGATTAAGTTTAGTTTTTAAAAAGAAGTGTGCACCCCTGTGATATATTGGCATTCTTATCAAAACCAATTCATTCATTCATTTTCCTTCGGCTAAGTCCCTGATCATCAGCGGTATCCACAGTGGTATGAACTGCCAACTATTCCAGCATATTTTTTACGCAGAAGATGCCTTAAAAACCAATTCACTTCCATGCAGTATCTGCAAATCATTTTAACACTAAATGTTGTTATAAAACAAACCACATGCTGTCAAATGAATATTCCAGGATTTAATGTTCATATAGTGACAACCCATTCAGTTTCTTTACACTGTTAAAAAAAATAAAGATATCAAAATAAATTAAGAACACACGTTTTAGTATTACTGTAGCTTATTTTGGTAAGTTAGACAGAAACTTTATATTTTAAGCTGTATCATTTAAACGTGATGTGTTTAGGGCAGTTTAATTTATGTACGATGAAATTACTTTTAAAATTAATCGATTTTAGGCAGCAACAACTTTTTTTGGCTCTGACACCTGAGAGTATTTAGTATTTAATTATAATTAAAACGCAATAAATAAGCATCTACTAATTCAGACAGTTTTACTTTCAGGGTTATTTAAGCAAGCACACTGAAACGGTTATACCACCATCATATATATATATATATATATATATATATATATATATAATTAATTTTTTTTGTCTTTTTTTTACCGCTGACACAGTGGTTTGAGACATACAAGGGCTACTGACATTTAAATTCAATACCATCGTATTTATACTTGGACTATAGCTATTCATATTGGAGATTTATAGCTGTCGTATTAAGGGTGCATTATCTTTTGTTTGTTTAGCTGGCTATCTGCCCACTAATTCTAGTAGCTCATGTCACCTCCTATTAATAAAGATCATATTGCAAACAGACATCAAATAATTGTAGTCTTTAGGAATTATCAAGAATTATTTTCGTAGAGCAAACCGAACTCTAAACATAATGTGACAGAAAGAACAATGCAAAACAGGAAAAAGTCAATTTAAAGATGGCAAGCGTTCAAGTTTCGTTTCTGCTGCTGCAGTCAGAAACCTTGAAAGTGAAAGCAGTTCGTTCACATCTGTCACCTGCTGGAACAATTACTAAAATTAAAATATTTTATGGTATTAAGAGCTTGTAATTTCCATGTTATTCAATGATTTAATTTTCTTTCTTGAAATAAAAAATACACATTCACGTGATTTTTTGTTTCTTTTGGGAATATTTTATAGTTAAAAGTTGTTTTTGGTCTTATGTTATCTATCAAATATCATGAGTCATTGATCAGAGCAATAATAATTTTATTTAAATTGTAACAGAATCATTAAGGAAATATGGAAGAACATATAAAACATATACAGTGCTCAGCATAACTGAGTACACCTCATTTTGAAAATGAATATTTTTATCCATTTATCTGTGATTATAGGTCATATATTTTAGTGCATTTGAACAAAATAGATTTATTAAACTGATATAATTATTCAAATAATATTTTATTCACCCAACAACTTTAAAAATAGAAGATAATACATTTAAATTAATGTGAAATGTTGAAGAAAAAATACTTTCAACTAAATTTTATACATTTTTTGTTTCCGTTGAATTTTGCTCTTTTATATTTTTTGTTCAATATTTTTCTCTAGGATATCAATTTAGGTGTACTAAATTTGGTCCGTTTTCATATTTTGTTAGTCCTGGATCTAATATTAATTTAAATGAGAGATTTGTGAGGGGTGTACTCGTATATGCTGAGCACTGTAGTGGTTTGTTATTGATCTATATATTTGACCCCTATTTTGTGTGCTGCCTGCTTTGTAAACTGATCACTTATCAATGATAGTCAGTGCTACTTTTTTAACTTCTGAAGATATTTTTTACATTTCTGCTCAAACCTTGTTCTCCTCAATTTTTTTTTTCTAACCATGTAAAATACAAAAACTTTATAAAACCTGACAAAAGGCTTCTGTACAACGTCACAAATACACACTTTTTTTTGTAAATTTTATGTTACTTTAATAGGTCAATTAAGCTAATACTTCTTAATACTTCTTAACTTCTTCTCATACCATGTGCTTCTTTCACCATGAGTCAGAAAATGAAGTTCGACCTTCAAACAGTGCTAGATAGTGACCCTCACACCTTATTGGATGTTTTATATATATATATATATATATATATATATATATATATATATATATATATATATATATATATATATATATATATATATACCGATATGTATTATGTATGTATATATGTATTAGGTATGTATATATGTATTACCGATTATACTTGATGTAGGCTATTAAGTCAGATTAATGTAACGTTAAATGAAACTACTTGTACATTAAATTTGATGCAACTAAAACTAAAAATTCAAGACAGCAATTTTACAGTGAATAAATATATTATAACATAATAAATTAGTTTTGATTTAAATATCTTTTTTCATATGCAAACCTTAAGTTTAATGAATCCAAGTATTCAATCCCATATCTATCATGTGTAAAGTGTAAAAAAAATATTAATTTTTTTATTGATATATAAACATTCACTGCACCCTAAGTTTACCCAACTATGACCTCTGCTACTGAGAAACCTGGAAATGTAAAAAAGTTTTTTTTTTTTTTTTTTTTGCTAAATATCCTATGGCTATCAGCCAATCAGATTCAAGAACCAGAAAGAACTGTAGTATATATATAGGCACAGTTATTCATACTAATAACATGATGTACTCTTGTTTGATAATTACAGTGCAGTGAACTGTGACCGTAGATATACTGCTAAATAAAGTCTGGAGATATAAATGATAGCAAATTTGTCTCATTTACATAAGCATTAAAGCTATAAGAAAAAGAAAATACTTCAGCAAGACATTTACTTTTGCTTGTTAAATGTTCAATGACATATTCAGAAGTTATTTTTAACCTGTGTTTCAATATTATTTGTCTCTTTGTTAGAACAATTGCTTCTTTTGTCATGTGTGCAAATGTTTGATTTGTTACAATGTAACCAGGCAAGTTTTGTCCCGATACAAGATCAATCACAGTATAATGTCAGCATTGTGTGTGTTCCCACACTTTATATCAGATGCTTTTAATCAAGTAGACTACAGTCAGTAGGAGGAGGGACATGACCAAACATCACCGCGTGGCTTGGCTCAGATTCTGTCAGCATCACACGTGTGACATTAGCAGATGCTGAATCTACTCATTTGATAGCTTGAATGTTTTCTTTGCAGAGGTGAGTTTCAAGGCAGATCCCTTTATGTTTTTTTTCTATTTACTATAAGTGTTCATGTTTTAAATAGTAGCTCAAATGCTTTTTTTGGGGACACTGGTCATAGGTGCCTTTATATGTACATGTGTCAAAGTTCTTTTTCTGAACTAGGTGTATGTCATTGTTCGAGAATTTGTTGCTGCTTTCGGCAGTGTTTTAAATAGATTTGCAAAGGGGAAGAAGGGTGTGAGGAGTCAGCAAAACGAGTGGATTTGGCAACAAGTTTTGTAGCTCTGTGCTTTTCTCTGGACTCCACTCTCTGACTGGACTTCTTGTGAAGTTTGTCTGTCGATGTGGAATTAACATTTCATTTTGCTGGTTACCAACGACACTTCAGAACTTTAAGTTCATGTTTCCAGATGATGTCGATATAACGGCAGGTAATTTACTTAGACTTAATTGTTCTAAAAATTGTATAGCCTTTGCTACACTAGTATTTCTGTGAAAGAAGCGCTAATTCTCCATTCAGGTCTACAATTAGACGTATTTATAAAAAATAAATAAATAAAAATTAAACGTAACATTGTAGTTATCCTGCTATTTAATAAGTGGTTTCGTAACATTTAGTGATCTGAAATTGAGCAATAATTCTTTAAAGAGGTTAAAATTGAAACCGCATGATGCTGCTGAAGTTAGACGTACACTAGACCCCATGTCTTCTTTTCTTTCTTTTATTAGACTACATGCTTATGAAACGAAACAAAAAAGGTTATAATACAAATTAGCGATGCTTTAGCTTCACTGACTATACTTCAACAATAATACACTGCTAAAAATGATTTTCTTGTTTCTAGTCGAAATATCTAAAAATTCTTATATCAAGTAACATTTTCTGGGCAAGCAAAACATAATGTCTTTTTTCAGAAATAATATGCCAACATTAGGTGAGTTTTTCCTTAAAACAAGCAAAATAATCTCCAATGGGGAAAGCAAAATTATTTAGTTTTTCCTTTTGACATAAGAATAATTTGCTTACCCCATTGGCAGATTATTTTGCTTGTTTTAACAGAAAAACTCACTTCATTTTGGCATATTATTTCTTAAAACAAGACAATATGTTTTGCTTGTCTAGAAAATACTTCTTGATTTAAGAATTTTTAGATGGTCTTAAAACCAGACAAAAAATTTAAGTAAGAAAAGCATTTTTTGCTGTGAATTTGTTGTAAAAAGATGTGGTTCTAATTGTGGTTATACAAATTGCGATCAAAAACAGGATTACTGCACTTTTAATAGTAGAACCATAGTTAATTTTTATGTCAAGTTTAGTTTAACCAAGATCTGCATGCATTGCGTAGGAGTTAAATTAAACGTGTCAAACATGCGGATACTGATTAACATGTTACACCAGTGTAATCTGGCAGAAGACTAGACAAGGCTATAAATAACAGACCCCCATGACTTACCAAAATCTTTAATGACATACTGGTTAAGCGTTTTCTTTCGACATGGAGATGAATATAGTCTACTTTAAGATAGGTGCAGTGTTTATCTACTGGGACTTTGATCTTAACACCTTTAACCTGATTTTTGCACTACAGGGTTGTTAAATGCTTTATTCTGATTAGCTGAGGAACAGTTTTAGGTGTGTAAGTATTTTCAGGGAAATGAAATGCAATTCCTGACAGGTCTTGACCAATTCACAGCTGCATGTCACTATGGCAAATGATGTCAGTCATTTTAAATGACTCTACGGTCTAAACTACAATACTCCCTCATTTTCAGAAACTGCATTAATAACTGCATTAGTCTTCTGACAATGGCTTTAATGTCAGATGCCCATTCTACACAAGTTTACATAATTCTTTATGGTCTTAATGAAAAAGTCTATAACTTAGGGTACACAGGGTTTCCACGGAGTCTTTAATTTCAACAAAAATACATTTTAGGCCTTAAAAGTATTATTAAAGTCACTGAATTCTAATCTTTTATGTCCTTAAACAAGTCTTTTCCTCTGTCCATGTAAAGCTACCCAATCCAATTACCAAAAATCCCAACAATAAAAAAAAAAAACTTTCAACAAAAACTTTTTTTGAAGAAGAAAAGTAATGTTAAAAATATGTATACAATAGGGTTTGCTTGTTTTGACACATTGTTTAAAAATAGGTGTCAAAGAAGCAACCAATTAGAATAACTTTCATGGGGCAATAAACCTCTTTTCCACGAGACCAACTGAGCAATTTAAAAAAATCCTTAGTGTTTAGCACTGTATAAGTCTAAAATTTTATTCCTAATAGTCTTAAAAAGGTCTTAAAAAGACTTAAATTTGACTTAGTGAAACCTGCAGAAATCCTGTTACATTTCTCGAAAGTGGAGTACCTGTAAATAAACACCCTTTTTACTTGCTTTTTACCCATTTTTCTGTCTCCTTAAAAGATAATGATCAGCTGCTCCCACCACCCCACCCAGTTGCAGAGTCTGTGCTGGTGAGTCAAGCACTGGCCACAAACCTGCAGCTAATTTCTGATGCATTTGGCACACTTTTGTAGAAACAATTCAGCAGATTTGAATTGGTTAAAAATATGCAGAATCTTTTTTCTTAAGAGTCGAATGTGCTGCAATCTTAACTAATTTTTTCAATATCAGTTGTTAATTCTTCCAGATTTGAAAGAGTATCTTAACAATGACTGAAGCCTCAAAAATTTGAGGGTCTATGTAGTTTGTCCACATGAAAATAGAGACAGTTATCAGGAACAACAATATGCTTACTTTATTTCAGCCTGCACATGCTCTGCTGCTCATAAAATCACGTACTTGTACATAACGCGGATTGGGAAATTGTGTGTTAACCAGAGGCACAGGAAAGACCATATATGAACATAGCACTTACCTACAGTCTTTAAACTGACAACATATTTTCGGCCGATAAATTTCTGGTGGTCGAAAATTTGGTGCATCTTTAATATCAATATAGTTTTAGATTCCCATTATTGCACATTTCTGCTGTGTGATTGGCCCATCACCCCACCCAGTTGCACAGTCTGTGCAGGTTAATCAAACACTGGCCACAGCTCTGTGGCTAATTTCTAATGCATTTGGCACACCTTTGTGGAAACAATTGAGCAGATTTGAATTGGTTAATATATACTGTACAGGATTTTTTTAAGGAGTCAAATGTGCTGCAATCTTAGCTAGTCCACAAGAAAACAAATTTGATCATTATAAAAAAAACATGTAATGTTTACATCAATGAAATGCTCATTAATAAATGTATATTAAAAGTAGAATTCTTTAATCACACATAATATTTTTAAATGGTGTCCAAGAGTGTGTTTGAAGTGGAAAGTAAAGTTTTAACTGGTTTGCTGACTGATATGGCAAAATATTTAGCTGGCAATTTGTCATAAATTTTAAGGTTTCTTTAATGTTTTGCCCCCTCACATCACCTCGTTTGCACACAAAAATTAAAGAACAGACGCAGATACATCAGTTAGACATTTAGTCCTGTGTCCAGTTCTCCAAAACTGTGGCAAAATATCCTCAAAACAGATGCCCAAAGAAACAATCTGTCTTTAATTGTGAGACAAATTGTAGATACAGCTACTTACTTAAAGCATCATCTCATAAAGCATCCCTTCTGGGGTATTCCTTTCATATATAAAATATATCCGCTACTATCATCCGTTTTGAGCCAATTCATCATCCTGTGCATTGGAGTCTCGCCTAAACACTATAAATTAGATGGGGTTTGTAATCGGATACATTTACTTTTATTGGTTACATTTACTTTTATGTTAAACAAAACTGCAAAGGCAAATAATACTCAAGGTATGATTCAATATCATTATGACGTGTTGTTAGCTATGGGACTCTAATACTCAACTGTAAAAGTTCTTAGTCATTTATACTTTTTGTAAGGTCACAATCTTCACTGATATATTTTGGAATTTCCCTAAAAACTCGAGCAAGATGTCTGATGTCCATTTAAGGTTAGGAGTAGAAAAACACACACTTCTTGTAATGCAGGACAGGTCAAGCATTTGCTCTTCATAAGACTTAAAGTCCCCCGAGAAATGAAAACTAACCGTATGATTTTGTTAGCTCACATTGCTAGTTTTGTGGTAAACAATTCATATGTGCATGTCATTCAATAAAAATATAGTTTGGCCTTCTAATCTTTAATTGAAATCCTAAATTGCACAGTTAATTCTTCCGATTATGTATATTTTAGGAATAGGAATTGGGATGTGGCTAACATACTTAGCCAACCATACTGCAACTGTCAGTTCTGCAACAAAAATGGTGAGGAGGAGAAGTTGGGTCAGTGGGTGCCAAAGTGGGAGTTGCGAGACAATAACAGGGGACACTTGGATATTTAAAAAAGTCAAATATAGTTTATTAAACTGTTAGAATTACCATATTTTAACCACAACCCACAGAAGATTAAAATAGTAGTTTTTAATAGTAAAAAACAACATGTAAATAAACAACCATCATCAATTATTTTTTTCATAGGATTATGTGTTTACGTTAGACTAACAACACAGCAATAGTGTCAGCTGCAGCAGATTGATTTTTTTACACCTTTATGGCAATCAAATACATAAAAATAAATAAATACAGGCCACAACTGAACATTGAGGATGATATCTGATTGGCGGTCTCTAAAATTAAACCAAGAATATACCTGTGCTGAAAATATTGTGTCCACCAGTCTCGTTAGGTGAGGTTAATATTAAATTAAACAAATTAATAAATGTCTATAAAATAATATCATTGGTAGACTGTTGCACGTTTTCGTGTTGTCAATTTGCTGATGTTCATATAGGCCTATTGTTGAGTGCGTGCGCAACGTTGGTATATTTAAAACCACATCTGAGGAATTTGTGGGTTGCGAGTAATTGGCATTGTTATTAAAAAGATAGGGAATGCCTGTGTTAGGTTGTAATAACTCTCCCCAAAGCCTTTTCCCCATCTCGCTGAATGAAATGCCTTCCTCACTACATCCATTTAGCTCACAGTAGAAAAACAAGCCACGCCCACTTTTGTGTTTTTTAATATTTTGTTTCTCTAGGATGTCACAATTAAGGTTGTGCAATTTGGGAAAATATCTAATTGAGATTTTTTTTTTTAAAATAAAGATTCAATTTTTTTTTAAAGATTTAATTTTGTAGTCAAGCTTCCGCTTAATATTCAGTATCGTAGCTTCCTACTGCTCAAATGCAGTGAGTGTTAGTTAAAAACTGAACTGAAAAGACATTAACAAACTCCAACTTTTATTCAAATATGTTTATAAATATTCAAAAATGAAACACTAATTTTTATCTTAAGCAAACAGTAGTGAGTTATGGCCTTAGTTATCTCCTGGTGCCTTCATGATGTTTTTTAAAATGGTGTAACAGCTGCAAACAACTCTGAAATTGTACTTTGGTGTTGCTAGCTACTATATTGAGTGTCCCAGGGAATACTTTTAGTTGACTTTAGCAAGACACTCCTCATATAGCTGCCTGTGGTGCTTTTTTTTAGGTGCTGGTTGTTGTATTTCCTCATGCTGTGGAAACAGTTCTGTGACAGCTCTTGCAAATGACCTGTTTGTGTTTGGTGCCTGTGACTTTGAAAGCAAAATATTCCCATATTCCCGATGTGCTGTTTTTCTTTCATATTAATTCGTCTGTTAATGTTTCTAAAGTGGCAGACGCCATCATCCCACTTGTCCGCGCTTTTCTGTTTGTTTGTTTTATTGTGGGTGTTCCGCAGTTTGGTTGCGCAATTCTGATTGGGCAGAACGAAAGTGTGCTCACTCAGTTGGCTAGTAAGACTGTCACACACAGATGGCAGTCATGAATTTGCTTAATATTTTTATATTGAAGCCTTCTGTGATTAGCTAATCGCAACGTTTCAAATCACGATTGCAATTCAATTTTGATTAAACACACAATCCTAGTTTACAATAAAAACGGTGGCAGCTTCTGGTTCATGTGGACTTTAAAACAGTTTCCTCCTATACAATATAATGCATTTCTTCAAAACAAATAAAAACTGCTTATTATGAGTGATATTTTACATTCAACAAAATATCAAAATAAATGTGAAATCATCTGAAGTAAATTAACAAGGGGAAAGGAATTGCGTTTTTTTCTTGATATTCAACCGTTGATACAAACTTCTACATCCAACGGACAATTTTTAGAGGACAAAAAATTCTTTATAATGAAAAAAAAAAGTTTTTTTTTTGATTATTAAATATGTCTTTACTCTAAGAAGACAATGCCTCTTTTCAAAAGTGTTCATAGAAGTCTTCATTGTGGAGTGTAAAATTCATCTTCTGTGACACTGCTGAGAGTAACCCAAATCATTTGGTGAAGTGATATGGTCATGACCTACCTGGAAAAACATTAAAGTAAAATAGTGGAGATCAAAATAAGCCCAAGTCATTGTGTGGTATTAGTCAAGCATTCTGTTATAGGACTTTAAGGTTGAATTTAGACCAGAGTTTTAACATTTCTGTTTTTATGACAACAGGCGGCACGGCTCATACTCCACAAACTCAAGCTCCTGATTGTGCCAGTGATACAAAAGGATTCTTGATGCCTCAAAGTTTTGCAAAGGTATGGTATAATTAAAAAGATGTTAATGATGCATGTACGGTATGGAAAATGAGCTTTAATTTTACCTTACAGAATGAAACCATTGAAGCTTCACCTGAAACTGAGAAATGTCATTTTTGTATTTGGGACACTGGGACTTTTATGCACCACTGTCATATTTTTAAGAGGAAATGGAGAAAAACAAGAAGCAGGACTATCGTTGAGGCAGCAGCTGACAGTAAAATATGGCATTAACTGCACTAAAATTTATGAAATGGAACCAGTGGAAGTGGGTAAATCCTTAGTCATCCGCAAGCAAAAAATCTACAAAGGATTAACTGATGCAGCGATCGCAAATGCCACCATTGACTGCGAATGGTTTGTATCATCACAGGGCTACAATGACATTCAGGTCACTGAGTCCGAGCGTGAATTTCCTCTTGCTTACTCTTTAGTTGTTCATCAAGATGCCGCTCTTGTGGAAAGACTCCTGAGGGCCGTTTATGTGCCGCATAACATCTACTGCATACATTATGATCGAAAGTCTTCCACTGACTTTATGTTAGCAATGAACGGTCTGGCCCGCTGCATCCCAAACGTCTTCATTGCCTCAAAACTGGAGAGAGTTCAGTATGCAGGAATCTCACGACTCAGAGCGGATCTGAATTGTCTGTCAGACCTCCTCGATTCTGAGGTCAAGTGGAAGTACGTCATCAACCTGTGCGGTCAAGATTTCCCACTGCGGACAAACGCTGAGCTGGTGTCAGATCTGAAGGGTCTTAAAGGCAGAAACATGGTGGAAAGCAAGTGGCCTGGAGGAAAGAAAATCCGCTGGAGTGTTCATCATCTGCTGAAAAATAATGATTCAGAGTACTACGATTTTCCAGTCAGTACTCCAGAGGAGAAACCTCCACCACCTCACAACATAGAGATGTTTGTAGGCAGCGCTTACTTCACTCTCTCAAGGGAATTTGTGTATTTTGTTCACTGGAGTTCCCTTGCCAAAGATTTCCTGGCTTGGTCTGAGGATACATTCTCACCTGATGAACATTTCTGGGCAACTTTGGTTCGTGTGCCTGGAGTGCCTGGTGAGGTGCCGAGATCAGATCCGGAAATCTCCGAACTGATCAGTAAAACTCATCTGGTGAAGTGGTCATATTTAGAAAATGATCTTTACCCAGAATGCACTGGAGTCAGTGTGCGTTCTGTCTGTATTTATGGTGCTGCTGAGCTCAGATGGCTCTTAAACTACGGTCACTGGTTTGCTAATAAGGTGGATCCAACTGTGGACCCTGTTCTTATTGAATGTTTAGAAGAAAAACTTGAAGAAAAACGGCGGAGACTCGCAGTGAATTGACCTCGTTTTCATCATTGAGGAATTGTTTTGGAATTTAAAACAAAGTTGAGCCATTTATTGCGGAAAGTAGTTTAAAAATGCACTTTATGTTGTTATACAGTAAAAGTGTTCCTGAAGATGTGATTTAGCCAACATGATGTGCAATTCTCTTGTTATGATTTGATGAGACAAAATGTGAATTTTATTATGTGGGTTTGCATTTACACACTGTTTTCAACAACAACAACAAAAAGAAAAACTATATATTTATTTTCATTTACTTTAGGGACATGAGAATGCACACTTTTTTAAAAAGCAGAAGGTTAAAAACATGATGCATAAACATCCATGCACACAAAAGCAAGTTTATAAATGAGTGTGTTCAGTCTTCAAGCATGTGTGTGTGAGAACTTGACAAAACAACAATGCTGGACTACAGAGCACTCGTGTTTAAAAATATATGATATGTTAAATTCCTATTACAATTTCATATTATACATTTTATTTGGGATTCTTATCGTGTTAGAATTTTTTTTATTCTCTGGTTGGAAAATCTTAAATTGTGTCATCTATGTTGGCGTGGGTTTCCTCGGGGTGCTTCAGTTTCCCCTAAAGTCCAAAGACATGCACTATAGGGGAATTGAATAAACTAAATTGTCCACAGTGTATGTAAATGAGTGTGTGTAGATGTTTCCCAGTACTGGGTTGCAGCTGAAAGTCCATCCGCTGCGTAAAACATACACTGGAATAGTTGGCAGTTCATTCCGCTGTGATGACTTCTAAAATAGAGACTAAGTCAAAAAAAAAAAAAAACTGAATGAATGAATGAAATTGTGTCATCAAGCTTGACAATCTACTCTCAGGTCTGTTACCAGCAACCGACTATGCACAGCTAATGAGTTAGCTCAAACAAACTGGATTATTAACGAGTCACTTGCACTATAACTGGTAATGCTCTGTGATGCTTTTTTTGTTTTTTGGTCTCTGTAATGCTGCTTGAAGTTCCTGTAAATATCATGTTGGACGACAGTCTGTAATTACTTTTACATTTTTTAAAAACATCTTCAGGGGCCATTTTAGTCTCTCATAACGTTTGATCACAAGTTTGATTATGATCACGATAGAGATAGATAGATAGATAGATAGATAGATAGATAGATAGATAGATAGATAGATAGATAGATAGATAGATAGATAGATAGATAGATAGATAGATAGATAGATAGATAGATAGAATAGACAGACAGACAGACAGACAGACAGACAGACAGACAGACAGACAGACAGACAGATAGATAGATAGATAGATAGATAGATAGATAGATAGATAGATAGATAGATAGATAGATAGATAGATAGATAGATAGATAGATAGATAGATAGATAGATAGATAGTGTTAATTGTCAGAGAAAAATTTGCTTGTTTTGCATCTGACTATGCAGGAATAATGCAAATGAAGTAAACACAACCCCATAAAAAAGTAGAACTAGACGACATTTGCATGTTGCAATTCCTCATTTTACTGGTTTTGGTTTTGAAGGCTTGTGAATGATGGAGCTGTTTTCTGTAATCTGTCATTTCTGTACTTTACAGCAATTTTGCACTGTGCTTATCTAGCATTTGATAAATAACTACTGCCATGTTCAATAGAAAATCTATTTTTGCATTTGGCCAAACTGTCCTTTATTTTTAAAGCATTCCCTTTTGATGAGAGAAAAAAGAATGCTCCTTATTTTCACTTTACATTTTTTCCATGGAAGTTTTTCAAATTTCGTAAAATTTAAAGGTTTGGGTTTATAATCCTTTTTATAATCATTCCTGCTTTTCTGATATAATGATTAATTTGATAAAATAACTATTTGATACTGCTAACCTAAAATATCTTTGTTTTATTTGTTTATTGATAAAATTGTTGAGTGCATATTTTTGAAATTTTGCTTACTGAATGTAATAAATTATCATAAAAAGGGGTATATTGTAGTAGTGTTTTCAATATATAGTGAAACACTAAGGTCCTGACCATTCTTGTACTGACCAATTGTTTTCTATTGTTTATACGCAGAGCAGAATGATTTGGCATAAAATCTAAATCTTGATTAATAAACAATTTATTTATTTGTTTATTTATTTGTTGCCCTCCTCATGATAAGTTGTGTATAGTAAATATGCATTATATAACAAGTAGTGTCTGCTATATAACAAAAACAGCATCTGCTGTTTATGATTATTTTTTGAAAATCAATGTTGACCAACTGAAATAAAAACACATGTTGCCTAAAACCAACAGTCACTATTTTTTCTTATAAAAAAGTGAAAATGAATAACTATTACTTTTGGAAAGTAAATAATTCATTTTCAATGTTTTTTCATATTAAAAGTAGATAATAAGCCGTATCTTATCTAAATAAAATAACTCTTAAAATACTGTTTATTTCCATTGTAACATTTCTCTATTGTATTTGTCTTTTTATTCATGAATTAGATTTTATGCTGACGCACACACCGACAGAATCATCCCAAACACAACAATTATAGATTCTTTCCAAATAGATATTCAAGTCATTTGGTGAAATTGTATTCATATTGCAATATATATATATATATATATATATATATATATATATATATATATATATATATATATATATATATATATATCATTTGAATAAAATAACACGTGGATATCCTGTAAATAATATTTTAAACAGTGCATTTCTTGCATCTTCTGTAAACAAATATTTTTATGTAAATAATAATTTTAATGTAATGGAAAATATGCATCTCTGGCGCAGCTTCCAATCATCATCAATATAGTGCAAAGTACGACTCAAGAATGGATTCATCGTTCTTGTCACAAGGAAGACACTGACAGCAGAGATGTGGTCATAAACAGGTGGATGGTCAAAGGCAGGCAGCAGACAACTTAAAACAAACAAAACAAAGCAAAGACCGGTGCAAGACAAGACAAGGGAACCGCGTCTTAATGTTCACAGTGACTGTATAACAAGCCTCAGCAACTGATGTGTGTGTGTGTGTGTGTGTGTGTGTGTGTGTGTGTGTGTGTGTGTGTGTGTGTGTGTGTGTGTGTGTGTGTGTGTGTGTGTGTGTGTGTGCTACTTTTAAAGTCCATGTAATCAGTTCTGAACAGCTTTAGCTGTGTATGTTAGCAATCAGTGGGAAGCCGGAACAGGTGTGAGTGTGTGGTGCATGACTGGATCTTGTTGTCCATATACCGGCAGATTTGTAATTCTATGTGATTTGTGAGTTGTCAGATGTGGCAGCAGAAGAATAAACATGAGGTCATGTGACTCCACACATGGTAGGGAAAAAAATGTAAAAAATTGACCTGGAAAAATTAGATCGATTATATGTTCTGAATGTCGATTCCTTTTCAATTTATTGCCCAGCCCTCAGTGTATCACCAGAAACCATTTTGTTTTGCATGTGTTTTTTTTTTGTTTGCCTCTTAAAGTGTTGGAAGCTGTTGACTTGCATTTTCTAAATCATTATAGACCACACCTAAAAATCTTCCATAAATACTCTACTGAAGTAAAAAAAAAAAAAAGTATATCTACTGTATATCTTCTATGACCCGACGGTGAATAAACTAGCAACAAATTAATATTGTTGTGTGAAAAATCCCTTGAACATTTCTAATTCTTTTAGAGTTTGTCGCTCCATTTGAGACTTGTACATGTTTGAATTCAGCTCGTAGGGGTCTGCATTCTAGATCCTGATGACACTCAAGCAAAGAGCTGCTTGTTTGTTGTCATCCGGCATGAATTCAATGAGATTCATATGACTGAAGCATGTGATGAGTCTCTGAAAGAAGACTCGCAGAGGAGAACAGGTTAGGAAAAGATGACAAGAATGCTTTCACAGTGTTTCAAGTGATATCATTATTTGAATAATTTGCATATTTGTGTGGGGTGTGGGTTGGGGGTTCGGGTGGCTTTGTGCGTGATGTGGTCAAAGGTAAATCTATTTCAGTTGTTGTAAAGAATGTCTGAAGTAAAGAATGTCTGAAGATTCTGTATGGCCACTTATGTAAAATCAATTTTAAAAATTATCTAAAATATTTGCATATGCTTCACATATAGTCAAATAAACATTCTTGTCCAGGCACTGGCTTAACTTGACTTAAGGTGCCAGGTGAGGGCCAAAGTATAGTGTTTTGCTAGATGCAAGGGCTTTGGTGACATCACAGATGATATGCAAATTCATTTCCTTTTTAAATGTCAAAAAAACCCATTTATTTTGCTACGCTGGGTTAAGTTACATTTTATTATTTGTGGTTGAGATTGTTTTACCTGCTTTCCATGAACCTAAAGAGCAGATGTGCAAATTGTGTGTGTGTGTGTGTGACCTAGTTAAAGCACACTTCAAACTGCATTCACAAATGTAGTTTATATGCATGTATGTAAAAATATAAAATAAAACAATGTATCCCCCAAAAAATCTCAAGAATTGTATTGTTTCAGCTCATTCTAAGTACACGACCTGACGAAAGTGTTGTCACCTATCCAAGTTTTATCCAAATAATACCTTGACTTCTAGGTAATGATTTAGTATCAGAAGTGCCTCAATATTACGCTTATTTTACCAAAATAAAATGTGACCACGACTTGATTTTATTTAATTTAATTAGGAAAGTAAGGTCTGACTTTGCTTAGACAAAAGTCTTGTCATTTAACAGAAATAATGTACAATATAGAATATAAAGTGATGGTGCAGCGGAAAACGAAATAATATTGTGTATGACTCCCATGAGCTTGGACGATCATCCATCCATCTCTGCAACGACTCAAATAACTTTTTAATCAAGTCATCTGGAATGCCAAAGAAAGCATTTCTTACCAGACTCCCAGAGTTTATCAAGATTCTTTGGATTCATCCTGAACACCTTCATCTTACCCCAGACATGCTCAATAATGTTTATGTCTGGTGACTGGGTTGGCACCTTGACCTTTTTTGCTTTCAGGAACTTTGATGTGGAGGCTGAAGTATGAGAAGGAGCGCTATCCTGCTGAAGATTTTGCCCTCTCCTGTGGTTTGTAATGTAATGGGCAGCACAAATGTATTGATAGCTCAGACTGTTGATGTTGAAATATTGAGTCCATGCGGGCTCCAATAGGTCTTC